TCAGAATAGAGTTATTTTGACCTCTAAATCTGGAACAGGTACGTCAGCAAAGGGCAACAAAAGAATACAGAGGGACTGTAATAACTTTAAGGAAAGCATACTTTTCAGAAATCATATCTTTTTTCTATTTTTCAAGCTATTTTTCATAGTGATCTAGAAATGTTGCAAATGTATTTTCAAATCTCAGCTACGAAAGAAAACTTGTGAAGTGGTTAAGAACAGCTTAATAAGCTATTACAGAATGTTCAACTGGTGATTGCAAAACTGCTACAAAGTTTAGAGTAAGTCTCATCTCAACTAAACACTACACAGCAATCCTTATTTTAGAATAAGGTGGACAGTATTCCAAAGAATCACTCATGTAGAATCATCTATAAACCTGATAAAAACATTAAAATTATCCTAAATGCAAAAAAGAAGAGCTTTCAGCTTTCCAGATTCCCACAATAATGTGTCTGCTGTCAGAAATTACAAGCAAACAATTCTCCTGCTGAACAACTGCCAAAGTATGTTAAAAAGAACTTGCACCGCCCATCTTTAAAAGGGCAGGCTGTCCATGAAAAACTAGGTCCCAACACATGTGTCTGTTATTAGGTTCCAGATTATAAGAAGGGCTGTTTACAATAAAATTCAGCAGGTTTGGCAGCATTTTAAACCCTGATGATAGCTCTGAGGCATCGGGCTATAGTTCACACCGGAGTGGTGGAAGGATGCTGCAGCTGGATTATGCAAGAGGACAACATCCTCTTGGGGCAATATTGTTTCCTGGTGGGTCTTAGAAAGAACGTATTCATTTGCAATGGGAATCTCTGTGCATGCTCTAGAACAGACCTAACTGAGATCATCCAAATGGATTTAGTAGGAAAAGGCCCTGGAAACTGGCTGAAAGTCAAACACCTAAGGCTAAAGGCAGCTGCCAAAGACAGAGATTATTGCTGGAAACTTTTCCAGCTAAATGGATACTGACTCCACCCTTGCTCATAAATTAGGGTTTGTAAGTATTGTTTAAAAGTTCTAAAATGCAAAACAAAAAAGCAAAAAAAGCAAAAACAAACAAAAACAAAAACCATTCTTAACTCCTCTCACACCGCAATCCTTCAGATTTAAGTTACAGCTCACTGCCCACAAGGAACTCTGCTCGTGAGCCAACCTAAATGCTTCATTGGCACTTTCCCACATCTTTTTAAAACAGACGCCTCTAAAAATATCTGAACCTCTTTTGTTAGGAGCCAAAGTTATTTTTCACCTGACAATTCCTGTTCCACATTTTCCGAACAATTTCATTGAGGTAGGTGCATACATGTCAAAATACATAATTAATTCTCAGTTGTATTGCTGTATCAGAGCAATTCAATGATATTGCTGGCATATGTTCTTAAGGGACACGTTCAAACTCTAGAGCCATATTTTAAAGTTTAAATTAAGCCCTCAAACAAATCTACTTCTCTTTGGGATTTATAAAATTAGCAATATACAGTATACATTACTTAAATATATTTAAATATGGAAAGATGGGCCTTTCCCCCCCATAAACGAGAGAGAACTGAACTACAACTTGTAGTTCTGATTCTGACACCTTGAATGAATTAGACTAACCATGCTTTTCATAAGCAGTTTTGGATGATGACACACATTTTTGATTCCAGACCACTGAGCTTTCAACACTTTTGACGGGTTATTCAAAGATAATGACAATATAACAAATTAAAAGTAGGGCAAAGGGAGCTCCCATTTCAGGCATTACACAATCTTGCCTTTTTTTCTAGCTTGATCGCAACCCAAATATTAATGGCAAAAAATCAACAGCATTTGTGGTAGATGTGAAATGACTTCTCACATGCTGTTTCTTTCAAAGATGGTTGCAATGCTAATTGCACATAATGCTAATTTATAAAGAAACTTCTGAGAAGCTCATAGTATGAAAATGGAGAACAATAATTTAATCTCCATTTCACAGAAACATGGATAACTGAAGGCAGTAAAAGACCTGGTAATCCATCAAATCTGCTCTTTGAGTTTGTTTTTTGCTTTCTTGTTAATTTATACATTTTAATTATTATTTTTATTTATTTATCTTTATTTATCTTTTCAACACATGTCCAGATGATGGACATGTGTTTATCCAAACAAGGTCAAACTCAGTTACAGATGACTGCCCCATTACCTCCGCTGGAAGTTGGTTCCAAGCTTCTACTAATCGGTTTGTGAAATAATGCTTTCTAACTTACTTTTGAATTTCCCTCCTGTCAGTTTGAAGTTATGCCCCCATGTTCTTGATTTTTGCTTCAAACAGAGTTAAAACACTCTGGTCTTTTGTAAAGTATCTTGGTGATGGATAACAGAAGACTTTGCCTGTGGAGGAACAGCACAATGGAGGTGGCTGATTGAGTAATAACAGATCCCACCTTCCCCCACTCTGCCCCCCCCCATGTGTCTTTGGTTTTAATGTTTAATTTTAACTTTTTACATTCTAACTTAAATGTAACTGTAAGCTGCCCAGAGTTACCCTATGGTAAGATAGGCAGCCAATGAATTTTATAAATAAATAAAATGATTTGTGGCAGAGAACCAAGAACTATCTATGAAAAGCTGAGGCAGCAGGTTTTTCCTCTATTAACCTCTTCATTTATTTGTATCACTATGTATTCCAGCACACTCTAGGAGGAGATTTTTCAGATAACATAAGGAAAAGAGCTGCATACGCCTATGGTAAGAATGCTGTTCAATAAGGAGTGAGTGAACCCTTGAGACAACCTGAAAATGTCCTTTAACATACAGAAGTAGGCATCCTCCCTGATCTCACTTCTCATATAACAATATCCGGGGGGGGGGGGATTATTTCTAATCAAAACACAAGTTATTTGAAAGAATAGTCAATATGGGCTGCAATTCTTGATATGCTGCTAATGTCCCAATGAACAAAAAAGACTTCCTTCCAAGGCATGATAAAATAAAATTAGATTTTAAATGCCATATGTTACATATACAGTAACATGGGTAACAGAATCTGAGTGTTATAAAATGACTGAATGAAAAGTGATAGGCAGGTCCTGTCCCTTCAAGCAGCCAAGTCTTACAATTTTTCAAACTGTCCTTTTCCCCCTCAAAATTGCTCTTTTACTTCAGTTCAATCCTTTATTACAATCACTGACAACAATACCATAAATCAACAGCAGACAAAAGAGAATAAAACAGTATAACATAGTTGCCCTTTTAGCAGCTGCTTCTGTGAAATTCCAGATACACCCTACCTTTCTAAGTAAACCGCTAGAACTGTACAGTGTAAATTCAATTCTTCTGTTTTCATGTACCAGATAATCTCCCCTTTAAAGACTTGGATGCATTTATCATTGATACATTTAGAGCAGGGGTATCAAACTCACATTGTCATAGCGGCATCACATGACATACTGTTGACTTTTTTCCCCCTTTGCTAAAATGGGTGCGGGCATGGCCAGCGTGTGACACATCCAGCTTGCGGGCCACAAGTTTGACAACCCTGATTTAGAGAGTTGCTCCAGAAATAGAAACTATGAAACCACTTAGGCTATGTTTTCTGGAGCAAAACATACAAACCAGAATCTGATGATGTTGTTTTTTTTATTCCTATGAACATCCAACAGTCCATAGAAATGCCACTATGATACATAGAACATGATCCTATCAAATGAATCACTAAGAGCAAGAATCTTCTATTTTTATCATTAATTTATCATTTAAATAGCCAGTTCCTAGGAATAATTTTTTCTCTGATTATGTGTGAATGCAACATTTTAAAATGATAATGTTTCTATTTATCCTAATTGAGAAGGCACTTCAGTGGTAATGACTTTTCAACTATGTATTCAATTCAGACAGCTTTACCTATGTTTGTATTACACCTTGGTTGTTTATTATATCAGTGTTATGACTTTCTAAGAAGGGAAAACTGTTGACTAATTTATTTCAAGTTTTTTTTTTACAGTGCCTTCCTTGTATATTTCAATTAATGAAAAGTAAATCACCTACTCCCCTGTGCAATCAATTAATTAATTAATTGGACAGATTCGCTTTCTGGATCCTTTGACTTAACAGTTAACAGTCCAACTACAAACAAAATTTTGCCAAGTGGTAAATGGCGTATCAGCTCTCTAAGATTAATCTGTTTATACGTATTTGTAAACAGTTACAACAGTGATCATATAATTTACTCATATATATAAAAACAAGACTGGTAAAATACCATGCTTTCCAGGACTTGAAAACTTGATAAAATTGCTGGGAAAATTAATTTATTTTTCTTCTGAGCAGACATGCCAAAGTAATTTTTTAAAATTTAATGAGTACAACATTTCGGGAAAAGCTAGTCTCTCAATCAGTGACACCCACCAGGAAAAAAAAAAGTAGGAATTGTGCTTTGAAATAGGCTAGAGAGCAGCAGAAGATTACAGGAAAAGTGGGAAATAAAGAAACTGCCAAATCAAGTCTTCCAAGTCTTTGAATAAAGTACAAAATATTAGAAATTTAACCTTTTTAAAATTATTTCTTTTCTAAAACATCCTGTATAAACTGGACCAGAAATGGCATAAGTATAAATTCTGCATAGGTTTTGAGAGATACAAATTCATTTCATTGATAGGTTTCACTCATCAAAAATGCAGAACTGAATTAATCTAGTTACTGATCAATGAGTCAATGCACTTAAATATATATATCTTCAAAATGAACCTTTTAAGATCAATCAGGAAATAGTTTTAGCATAAGGAAAAATACCTTAATAGATTGCCATACAGTCACTAGAGCTAATTTGTTAAATTTTGTTACAAAAATAAGAGTGGAACCAAGGTGTTTACTGCAAGCAGATTTGACTTATTCTTTTTCTTTTCACAAAAAGCAGGATGCAGTGTTATTTTAAAAATAAAGAACTGAATAGCGGTTTTTATTTATATCATCTGCATTTATCATACGTAAAGCACCCAGCTGTTTTAATTTAATGATGAAATAAATGCTTAGATCCTTACTCTCCAGCATGTATTTCTTGGTAATGGGTAATGGCAGCACCCGGATATGATGAAAGAGGGAACCCCATGGATGGGTTTTGGTGAGTGTGTTTTCAGATGGTGAAAGTGTATATGGCTGGATCATGAAGTATGCCGTTAGTAAAACTACTCCCAGGGTAACCAATCCCTGCAAGAGAAGAGAAGAATAAGATCATTAGTATTACTAATTCCATCTAACATTACTCCCATGCAATAAGCATGATAGTACAAATGACTGATGATGTAAATTTTTATCTGAGAGATTCTCGAACTTTGGGGTCAGGGGTCACTGGGGATCATTATGGGAGGAAGGTCACATGGTTTGTTGCCTTGTTTATTTTCAAACCTGATCAGTGAGGTCAGCAAGCAAAGTGGGGTCGTTGCCAAAAGCTCACTTTGGCTTACCACCCAGATTTGTCTTGGCAAGTTGACTGCAAGCTTCAATGGCAGGAGCACATTGTGTATCAAAACACAATTTTGCTTTTGCTCCTCGTTTTACCTATGAAATCCACAGTAGTTTCGCAACTTTTGAGATACTCTCTGATATTAACAAGTCACTAATAAAAATAAGTAATATATTTATTTGGGATCCAATCCTAACACGAATAAAATCTTTAGTTTCATTCACAGGAAAAGAGCGGTTGCACAAATTAACATCATTATATCTTAAAATCTGAGAAGCATGGATCTAATCACATCTACAGACATTTCATCCTATGGAGATTTCAAATTGCAGTACAAGTAGTCCTCAACTTACAACAGTTTGTTTAGTGACCGTTTAAAGTTAGGTCACTGAAAAAAGTGACTTATGACCATTTTGTATACTTATGACCGTTGTAGCATCTCCATGGTCATGTGATTTACATTTGGATCCTTGGCAACTGGTTCATATTTATGACGGTTGCAGTGTCCCGGGGTCATGTGACCATCTTTTGCGACCTTCTGACAAGCAGTCAATGGGGAAGCCAGATTCACTTAACAAAAGCATTATTGATTTAACAACTGCAGTGATTCATTTAACAAATATGGCAAGAAAAGTCATAAAGTGGGACAAAACTCACTTAGCAAATTTCTCACTTAGCAACATAAATTCTGGGCTCAATTGTGGTCTTAAGTCAAGGACTACCTGTACACTTTGTACAAGAACATGGAGAATCCAAAACTGTATTACCTTATAGAGAACCATTAATAGAGGAAAGCGCGGGGGTCCTCTTTGTGGTTCATTTTTTTCCAAGAGTTGTTTGATGAATTTCTCAATGGCCTTTTCAGACATACCACACTGGTAACCTGTCTGTCTCACCAAGTCAATAGTCTCCGAAAGTTTATCATAAATACTGAGTTCACTAGTCGAAAGCTCCATGTCTTCTGATGAAAAATCCTATTAGGAAAAATTCAATACAATTAAGAAACTATTCCAGTGCCTCAAGGAAGGTGACAGAAGACAGTAGGTTTTTTCTAACATGCCTGCCAATCTGATTGTGTGAGTAGCAAGTCTAGTTCATTCAATATAATATAATATAATTCATTCAATATAATATAATATAATTAATGGAATCAAGGTATCAGCATTGAGATTCTTGGAATAAAGTCATTTTATTCATCTCAGTAAACCACAAACAGATAGTATCAAGCAACAATTGTGTGTTCTCTTTTGTTTATACTAAACAGAATTGGCAGATCAAGAATTGCTGTAACTCTCTAAAGTTTCTGGAGTGGTACTGCAGCTATTTCATGCCTATGAATAATAGTTGACAAAGAACAAAGAACAGAAATGGGATGTTGTATTTATCAAATACAATCAAGAAATAATCAAATGTAGGAGTCAGGACTTCAGAATGCAAAGCAATTTCACTATTGCAAAAGCAACGGTTTATATGCTTGCAACTTAACAAACATAGATATGAGCCACACTATCTCTGGTCAATGAATACTCAAACCATGAAAATAAAGAAAATGTCTTAATGTTATACAATAAAATGTTTCAAACAAAGTGCCATTTACTAAAACTCAGTCACTGCTTCTTTTACCATGAGATACTGCTCTATTTATGGTACTCAGCAATATAATACCAAGAGCAACCCATACTTGCACAACAGAAAATCTGATAACATGTTTTCGGAGAAGAGAAAATATTTAGAACATTAAATCCTTCTTAAAGGACTCTTCAAGGTCCTGGTGTCTAATAACACCATGCAATCATGAACTGGAATAAAATAACACTATTTCTATGAATGGAAAAAGACCCAAAATGTCTGGAGATCAACAGGAGGGAACACTATGCTAATATATACAGCATCATTATTTAAAGATGTTTTCATCATTGTTTTAATCTTCTAACCTTCTGTTACCCATATGATGCTGAGTAGATAAGAGACAAGATATCTACCCCCAACCCCCATTTGTACAAATGATCAGCACCAGCATAATTCCCAGCGAAAGGGAAATGCACAGAGAAATAAAATTCCACATGCTTTTGTCAATGTCTATTTACTTTTACAAAATGCATTAATACAATATTTTCCTCATTTAAGATATGTGCTATTTATGGATATCAAATAACATAGACACAACTTGTGTGATTGTTTTCTGAGGGAAAAACATCACAACAGGAGCAACGTTTTATGTGGATATATATTCAAGCATCACTTACAGTACAAATGTATTGAACTCTGAAAGGTGTTTCAGATATGGCAGGGGAGTAAAAGATAAGTGTACATATACACCACTTGGCATGATGTTGGTCCACAAGACTATATACTTCCTCTAACCTCCTTTCCTATGCAAATGTCTAATGAAACAAAATGGTTTTCTAAATACAGTTAATAGCAATCATTTCTGCAAAATGCACAATGAGTGGTTGTTGTGGGGAAAATAGGAGAGACTACTATGTATATCTTAAGCTCTTGAATGAAAGATGGGAGATAAATTTAATAAAATAAATAACGGTAGACTTTTGTTGCAACCATGTTGCTTACTTAAAAAGACTGAAAAATGACAAAAAAAATGAGCTTCACTTTATTCAGCTTCTATAACAGCTCTGAGCACCACAGCAAGTGCTGGAATAGAAAACAGATATAGAAGACATACTTAGAGCATTTAATATTAAATTATCTGATTATTTCACAATAAAACTCAGGCACTTGACTGCTCCTTGTGGAAAATAGTACAGAATAGGTGTACACACACACACACACACTGTTGGACTTTATTGACCTTTTGCCAAAATTAGGCAAAAGGCTTCTCACTGCCAGATTTTTTTTAATGTCAGCTGCTATTGATGCTCATAAAGAGTTTTTGATTATGTTAAATATATTCAAAATGCCAACAAGACATTCAGTGCTATTTCATATATCACGAGACACTGTCAAAAAGACCAACTGGAATGCAAAACTTTACAGAACAGAATGACACTGAGGTATAATTACAATAAATCCATGTCACCATAATGTTCTTTGTTATGAACATACAGTCCTGGAACATACAGTCGTACTGTACTATCTGAATGCACTAACTTAAATAACTTAACATCAGGATCAAGAATTTAATTATGGTAGATATTAAAGGGAGTACTTTATTTAAAAAAAAATCTCTATGCACCTGTCCGTCCATCCATCCATCCAACCTAGTGCTAAGTAACATCACATTAAGAGGGAAAGCTTTGTAAACATCACATAAGGAGAAATCCTTGTAAAATTCAACTTCATGATTTCCATCATTACCTACCTAATGATATAGAACTTTCCTCAATTACATGACACTGTTAAAAAAAACAAAAAACATCCTCATCCCTCAAAGCACCTTTCCAGCACGGAATACAACCAGGTCAGAAGCCTCTGACATGAATCTACGGCAAATCCTTTCTGAGACTTACAGTCACCCTACTGGCAGTCAATGGTAAAAGGGGCTTGTGTTTCTCCATCCCACCCTGGTTCTCTTTTGCTTTCTACCGCCACAAAGAAGCAATCTTGAAAAGTGTCTGCTTCGGAAGGCAACCCCTATATAACCTCATATGGGGAGGGCTCATTCCCAGGAGGCGCGTATACGGGCTTGCAGGCTGCCCTATAATTCATCTGGCCACAAGTAGCCAGGAATCCTCCAAAAGCCATTCGAGTTGCCCTTTCAAACACGCCCACTACCACCCTCCTGGCCTCGCGCTGGTCCGGCGACTTGTTTCTCGCTCCCCCCCGTCCCCCCACCCCACCCACCCCTCTCAAGAGATGCAATCTGCAAATATCATTCCCCACCCCAGCGGCAGCCTCGGTCCAAGTTTGGCGGTGCCTTTCCCGCTTCTCGACAGCGCGAACGCCTTCTCACCCCATGAACCGCCCCGGGCGGGTCGAGTCTCCTGGATTCAACATGGACCCGAGAGGCCCCTCCGAGCGAATCTCCAGCCGATACACTCCGGGCTTCCTGCTTCCGGAGTCGGGAGGAGCGTGGCTTCATATTCGCAGCGGCACATTCGCCTCAGTAGCTCCCCGTTCGGCCCTGTCTTCAAAGCACGACGGATTAAAAAGTTAAAAAAAAAAAAAAAGACTTTTCCTTTCCTAACTGGCAAAGGAAACGTCTTTTTTTTTTTTTTTTTTTGCTTTTTAATCAGTCGCGCGTACAGCACTCTCGAGATACCCGTCCTTGCAATAATGAGCCCTTAAATTGGCAGCTTTTTTTCTGCCCACCACAAACAACATTGTAGCTTCCTGTCTCCAGAAAATGGGGTTTAGGTAAACCATTAAAGCCGGTGCATCCCGTGCACACAATTTGTATCGGAAGTCCACCTGCTTAACTGAGCATAAGTTTCTAGTACCCAGCGAGGCTGATACGATTCAATTCAATTCAATTCAAACCTTTATTGTCAGAGTACAACATGTGTACAATGAGATTGGCTGAGTCTCCTTTCGTGCACTCACTCCACCCCAATGCAACTCACAATGAAAGACAGTAAAAGAAAAAAAAAATCCCTAACCCAGTGAATCCTACTAACAAACACACAATCCTACTGCACCATGTGAACTTATTGCACATCACACCGATCCCGAAAATCAATGGTACTATGTTGTTGTAAAGTTATTTTCCACTCAGAAGTTTGACAGCCCAGGGATAGGTTGGAAAGCAAGTGGAAGTAACAAAGGCAAAGTAACTTCAAGAGGTAAATGCTTTTTCAGAGGAGTGACAAAACTCAAAATATCCAGAACTTCGCTGCATCCCAATGCACACAGAAAAGCTAAGAAAGCCATGTTCATTTAAGATCATCATTGCAAAACAGATGACAAAATTAAAAAGAAAAACGACATAGAGTTGAGGTCTTGGGAGTATCTTCAATAGTTCCCACATCTGACTTTTTAAAATGAAGTCCCAAGGTAAATGCATCTTTGTTCATGGAGTGCCAGCAAAAGGCTGAATAAAGTGGCTTTGCTTTTAAAAGCAACCAAAATAATGAGTCCGAGGTAGCTTCTAGCTGCTTTTAGGGATGAAAAGCTTTAGGATCAATAAATCCCAAATCCTTCCCTGTTATACCATATAGGATTAAATAAAATATTAAAATGCACCATTTTTCTTCCCATTCTTTGAAACCCTCTACAAATAATTTTAACACTTCCCAGCACATTTTTTAAAATCGAATTCAAATATACTAATAGACAATATGACAATGCCACCAGCTGCTTTATCCTAAATTCTAATTCTGTACACTGCTTCATGGATAATAGATTTCCATTTAGTTACTTTCTTTAAAGCCTTGATTTGTTTGTTTTCTTTATAGTTTGGTGATCTTGAATTTCTTCACTGTAAACTTTTCATTGAAAGCCTTAACAGCCTAGAATAGCAAGTCAGTATGGCACACAGGTTAAAGTGGTTGGTTGGATAGCAATTGAATCGGGTGAAATCCAGAAGTGGGTTTCAGCAGGTTCTGACCAGTTCTGGAGAACCGGTAGCAGAAATTTTGAGTAGTTTGGAGAACCGGTAGTAAAAATTCTGACTGGCCCCACCCCCATCTACTCTCTGCCTCCCAAGTCCCAGCTGATTGGGAGGAAATGGGGATTTTGCAATATCCTTTCCCTGGAGTGGGATGGAAGTGGAGATTTTACAGTATCCTTCCCTTGCCAGCCCACCAAGCCTTGGCATCAGTTCGCTGAACCAGTAGTAATCAACCCTCATTGGCCCCACCCACGCCCGGCTGGTTGCCGTTCACCTCTTCTGGCCACTCGATATTCCACAGAATTCAATGTTAAATGCAACAGAGAGAATGCTAACTTTTCTCCCTCCATTCAGAACGGAGCTCCTGCAGCCTGTCCCTTTAAGGTAGTCCCCGGGAGGGAGGGGGCCAGGAGGGAATCATAAAGGGAACAGCAGCTCTGTTCTGAATGGAGGGAGAAAAGTTAGCATTCTCTCTGCCACAGAATTCAATGTTAAATGCAGCAGAGAGAATGTTAACTTTTCTCCCACCATTCAGAATGGAGCTGCTGCAGCCTGTCCCTTTTAAGGTAGTCCCCGGGAGGGAGGGGGACGGGTGGGGGGGGGAAGCAGCTGGTATGGAGCCATTTTCAAGAAAGGCAGAAAAATGGGGAAGGGGATTTTCCTGCCTGTCATCCATTCCTCAACCTCAGCACAGACTGAGGGAAGGATGGTAGGTAGGAATATTCCCCTCCCCATCTTCCTGCCATTCGCATCAAGGAGTGGCTGGGAGGGGAGGGGCCGTGAGGAGCCCCTCGATGTGAATGATGTTGAGTTGGCCACGCCCACCCAGACACATGACCTCCCCCAACAAGCCACGCCCACAGAACCGGTAGGGGAATTTTTTTAATTTCACCACTGAATTGAATGTTCAACAGAATTAGGCCTAAGTTTATCCTTAGCTACAGAAACTCACTAGGTCACTTTGAATCAGCCACTATCCTATAGCCACTATAAAAAAAATGAAGGAATTTTATGTATGCTGCCTTGATCTGAAGTAAATTTACAACATATAGATATTAAAGTATGTAATATTTAACATGTATATAAATCAGCAATACAATATTTTAGAGAGCTGGTATTCAGTATTTTTTCTTAAGTGATTTTTTTTTTTTTTTTTTTTTTTTGGTGAGTTGCATGAAACTTTAACTCTTGGCCATAGATTCACTTGAAATAAAACTCAAAATGCAACATTATGAGATACAATTTATTGTTCCAATTATCATACTTATCTGAGTTTTGTCATTGTCATTTCACTCATTTGTAGGATGATTCATTATCAGTATACATTTTTCTTGTTTTTAATCCAACTTACTTTTAAAAGAGTTGTTTTGATTAGGATCTCATTTTACTGTTGATTTTCAAATTACTGTAAAGATTTAAATTCTGGAAGAAATTCAAATTGGCCCAAGTTTAACACAAGTGATTAATTTTAAATTGTGTTGCTGCCATCTAGTGGAGACATTTCAAACAAGGTTGATCATGAAAACGTGTTTCTGTTGTAGCAATTTGATACCTGAAGTAAGAAAGGAAATTTGTACACAACTGGCAGTTTTCTTGAAATCCTTCTTCTGTGCATTCAGGACTATTAACAGATGATGGAGAAAACATACAAAGAAAGAAGCAAATGGATGACTCACTAAAAATTAAAACAACAATTTAATGTTCTGCTTGTATCTCAGTAAACATAATTCTATTCAATTATGTCTATTTACTATTATCTAAACAATTTAATTTAAAATCCCCTTTTCTCTGGAAATTGGAGACTTGGCAATATCATCATCCTGTCTGTGCCTTCAGGCTTCCCCACACTACCCATGCAATGTTTTGGCTAACAGCCCTCAAATTGCCTTTTAGCAAGGCCTTACACAAAGATGTGTAGCCATCTAGAGGTCAACAGAGCAAGTCTTGTCCAAAATAAGTGGGTCATAATGAGGGCAAGGGAACCATTCATTTATTTGTTCCCTTATTTACTTGGGTTTGTAACGTAGTCCAATCCCACAGGTGACAGGTCTCAGTATGGCTTAAAACAACCTTAAATAAAAAGGTTAGTAACAAACAAAACAGAATGTTGTAATTAAATGTCAAAATAAATCTGGACTTTAAGGGACACTCAAAAAGCTGATAACCAAACAGGTCTATAGGTAGTTCTTGACTTACAGTTCATTAAGTGACTGCTTGAAGTTATGTCACTGAAAAAAAATGACTTATGACTGTTTTTCACACTTATGACCTATGGTCATGTGATCAAAATTTGGACGCTTGACAACTGGTTCACATTTATGTCGGCTACAGTGTCCTGGGTTCATGTGATCACCCTTTGTGACCTTCTGACAAGCAAAGTCAATGTGGAAGCCAGATTCACTTAACAACCATGTCACTATCTTAACTGCAATGATTCACTTACAAATGTGGCAAGAAAGGTCATAAAAAGGGGGTGAAATTCACTTAACAACTGTTTCACATAGCAACAGAAATGTTGGGCTCAATTGTGCTACTCTGAAAAAAAAAAGAATCAGATTCAGTTAGTATCATTTCCTAGGAAGTCCCAAGGCCAGGCTGGAAAGGAAACATTAAAAATCATATAAGGAAGCAATGCAAACTCTTTCCATACAATTGCAAGAAAACTACTGTATAAATATATATATATATCGTTCATTGGGGGTGTTACTTGGAACTCTGACATATATATGGGTGTGGGATTATTATATTATATTATTAATTTATTATGTGATTATTCTCTTATTAATTTTATTGCTTTATATATGAAGTTTTTATATTCTTGTAAGCCACCTTGAGTCGCCATGTGCAAATAGGGAGCAATATAAATTTCCTAAAATAAATAAATAAATGCCCAAGAGTTCCTAGGAAATAAGTGCAATTCACCTTAGAGCTTTGAATCCACCATTCATGGCCACAATGTTAACTGTTCTAGCCACATCCTGAGGACACCAATGGCAGGGAACAAATTAAAACAAATTAAAGCACAATGGCAAGAGTAGGATAAATCTGCATCTTTCTCCCCTCCCCACTTCTCCTCCTCTGCATGTCATTAAAATTCTATGGAGAAAAGAAACCGAACCGTGTATTGGGAATAGAGTACTTTATTTAAAGTTCTATGAACTGCAGCTGTACATGGATATCATATACTTAAAAATGAAATTGGTACAGTATAAAAGAAATATTATACATTAATGGCAATTCAATACCTATTTGCTTTATCATTCTTATGCCAATATTTGTCAGGACAAGGACGTCATAACAGAAAAATACACACTATGATATGATATGCAAAACAGAATAATAAGCAATATAGATAACTTTCCACAGATTAAAATCTTATTTACCATCAGTTGGGAATCACAAAAAAGACCCACCAAATTGTATTAATAAGCAGAGGAAACTCTGTATTAGAAAGAGAAAGAGGGGGGTAGCTTAATTAAAGACAACCCATGCTGGTATTTCTCAAACTTGGCAACTTTAAGATGGGTCGACTTCAGTTCCCAGCATGCTGGCTGAAAATTCTGGGAGTTGAAGTCCTCTCATCTTAAAGCTGCTAAGCTTGAAAATACACTGCCATATGCTGAACTGAGCAAGGGATAAATATTGCCCTAGAAGCCTGGAGAACTGGAGTTGGAAGGGAAAAAGTGATCTGGATCATCTTTGCCACAACCATTGAAAGCTAAACTGCTGCATGAGATTCAGGTGCTCAACATTTCCAGAACTCCTTGTGACTACTAGTTCTGTAAGATGCATATGAGGCCAACCTTTCTATTAGATAGCATACAGTAATTTCAGGAGGTACTTTGGGATTTTCTCTAGGTGAAGAGAAACAGACAGATATATAAACGGGGATGGGGTGGGAGACAACACAGCAAAAAATGTGAAATATTGTGGCTATGTGAAGAATTATAGGTGGTTCCCTCATCTAATCTCAATGTGCAATACTTCTTCCATTATTTTTTCAAAAACCAGTATTTGTTGTTGTTCTTGTTCCACAATCCAAAACATATGAAATAAACATTTTTCCCCCAGCACTGGCACTGTTTTCAATACAGTCTCTTTAATGAACGTGTCATCCCCTACAGCAGAGCACATACAATTGTCTCTTTAACAGATATATTTTAATGAACAATGTAAGTGACTTGTAGTATTATTATAGAAATCACAGACCCCTAAACCAGGTCTATTGAATTAGATGGCTGAATGTAGGGGAAATAGAGTTGATTTCATAATTGTTTGGCAACTTTCCAATGGAGAACAGTTTGAGAATCTGTAGTGGAAAGAACAGGTCAGGGATCCAGAGTAACTCAAAGTCTGAAATCTGTAAAGTGATGACCATCCTCAATTTTCATCTGAGTGGCACAACTTCTTAAATTATACAAGTTGGATTCAGTCCAGGTTCAAGAGGACAAACAGTATACACAATCACGCAGTGGACACAAGGATCAACAGCCATTAGTCTTCTCCACTTTATAAACAACAACTTCTCTTATTTTTAAGTTGCACTGACAAGTCTAGAGCCTTCTTTTTTAATTGGTCTTCCTGAGTTTTCATCAACCTACTATAAATACAGAAACAAATAGTCGGTAGACTGTTTTGCATACTATATAGCAATAGCAATACCACTTAGACTTATATACCGCTTTATGGTGCTTTACAGCCCTCTCTAAGAGGGGGCAATATGCTGAATCTACAGATTCAGCATATTGCCCCCAACAATTTTGTTCCTCATTTTATCCACCTTGGAAGGATGGAAGGCTGAGTCAACCTTGAGCCTGGTGATATTTGAACTGCCAAATTGCAGGCAGCCGGCAGGCAGCAGAAGTAGCCTGCCATACTGCACTCTAACCACTATGACACTATGGCTCATATTTTCCAATATTTCTGAGACTATTTGAAGTAACAGGTCTCTTTCATGCAGTCTCCCCTTAAACAAAAAGTATACAGTATCGAAGTTCACACACATTCTCCCCTTTAATAAAAATAGTCTGGGTATAACTGACATCATTGTATTCCACAATGAATATTCAACAAAGTTTCAGTAGGAGATGACCAGATTGAGTCCAAGGGAGGAGTCAAGCACATCATCAATCTCGAGTCCCTTCGCGCCCACAAGAGATCTAAGTCCAGCCCACCTTGAATTCCATTGACTCTTATCTACCACAAATTTGCCTTGAGCATTAGTAGCTCAGATTCTTGTAGAGAGTGTTAACATGCAATAAACTTTTATTCATTCATTATGTCCTGATTTTTTTGCCCTTGACAATTTCACTAATTCATTCACTGCTTAGGAAGATCTCTATTGCTATAGGTTTTTGGATGAGAAATGTATGAGTTTTTCCTTACAATCTAAGTAAGAGCTGGCACTAATTACTCACCTGACTAACTGTACTATGGATTCTCTGACATTGTAACCTGAAGCAGCACTGCATTCATAAAATGGAAGTCCATACACCTGGCACAAAATATGTAAGAGACAATGATGACAAGGAACACATACTTGTTTCGAACTGACAGATTTTACACTTAAATCAGTGGTGAAATCCAAATTTTTTTACTACCGGTTCTTTGGGCGTGGCTTGGTGGGCATGGCAGGGGAAGGATACTACAAAATCTCCATTCCCACTCCACTCCAGGTGAAGGATACTGCAAAATCCCCATTCCCTCCCCACTCCTGGGAGAAGGATAATGCAAAATCTCTATTCCCACCCCACTCTGGGGCCAGCCAGAGGTGGTATTTTCTGGTTCTCCGAACTACTCAAAATTTCCGCTACCGGTTCTCCAGAACCTGTCAGAACCTGCTGGATTTCACCCCTGACTTAAACCCCAAAACTGAATCCAATTTTCAGTCTTGCTATTTTATCTGGAAGATGCAATATATCACAGTGGATATTATCAAATGTTTGTATTTTTGTTTTGGATGGAATGAGTAGAGAAGCTGAGTCCCTCCCAAAAAAAGGTTTTGTCATTGGCAAGTAATTTGATTGAAATGAACCCACCTGCCAATGTCAATGAAATACAGGTATAAATGCCAATGAAGTTCCCTATCCTCTTTTTTAGCTTTTGTATCCTGTTTTAGTGTACCATCAATATAGGCCTATACTATTATTATTTTTCTATTTCTCCCGGCAGAGAGTAAGTCTTGGACAAATGAATATAAAAGAGTTAGGGCCAAGGCCAGCATTTGAACATGTTTGTTATGATTAATTTAACATTTCACCAAATAATTTATTAAACATTTTATTAATATTTTATTTAAAGTAATTAAATTAGTGGCAAATGTTTCCAGATAGCATCAGATTATTTTTACCATCAGTGGAAAAATAATTAAAATAAGAGAAAAAGCAGGGAAGTGTACCTTGGCCAAGTATGTTCCATTCTCTACAGATACTCTCCTTTCCGCACTACAGTCCGTTTTGTTACCAAGCAGAAGGACGACGACTTCAGCTCCAGCTCCTTCCTATGAGGGAACACAGAATTCTTCAGATATTAAATGAAATCAAAATGCTTGATTAAACCTTTCAACAATAATGAAAGAAAATATATTGGGATTAAGTTTCTTAACCATTAAAAAAAAACAGTATACTCATTTACTTGGAGATATAAAATATGCAAGATCTACTTTTAATTGCCTAATTTTTTACATTTAAAACAATGGCTAGTTTACAAATAGTTGTTTTGACAATGGCTTATTGCATAATTGTCAATGATTTGTTTCCCCACCACGTAAGTCATAGACCATGCCATACAAACCATTGCTATTGAGATTCTCAGTTGTCCAACTTGGTTGCCTCAAAGGTGCTTTTTGAAAAGGCAACTGGATTTCTTTGCTTCTTGAGGAAGATGTTTCGCTTCTCATCCAAGAAACTTCTTCAATTTTGTTCTAACTGAATCATTCAAATTCATCATTCAAATAAAGTCAGAACTGAAAAAGTTTCTTGAATGAGAAGCGAAACATTTTTCTCAAGGAAAAAAACAAAATCCAGTTACCTTTTCGAAAAGCACCTTTGAAATACAATTTCCAATATATATGTTTTTAAAAGTTTTTGATACAGTATTATATCTATGCAGCAGCTGCTCGGTGCCATATACTTTTAGCTAAAATTTCTAAACTGTATTAGAGTAACGTCACAGAGATTGATCCTGGCGAATAGATGAAGAAATGGAGGTAGTGACAGATTTTATTTTCCTGACCTCGAAGATCACCGCAGATGGGGACTTCAGCCAAGAAATTAAAAGATGCTTGCTCCTGGGGAGGAAAGCTATGACATATCTAGACAGCATACTAAAAAGCAGAGACATCATCCCGCCAATAAAAATGTGTATAGTCAAGGCTATGGTTTCCCCAATTGCAATGTATGGCTGTGAAATTTGGACCATAAGAAAGTCTGAGCACCAAAGAATTGAGGCCTTTGAACTATGGTGCTGGAGAAGACTCCTGCGAGTCCCTTGGACTGCAAGGCGATCAAACCTGTCAGTCCTAGAGGAGATCAACCCTGACTGCTCTTTAGAAGGCCAGATCCTGAAGATGAAACTCAAATATTTTGGTCACCTAATGAGAAAGAAGGACTCACTGGAGAAGAGTGCTGGGAAATGCTGGAAAAGATTTAGGACAAAAGAAGAAAGGGACAACAGAGAATGAGGTGGCTGGATGGAGTCACTGAAGCATTAGGCGTGAGCTTAAATGGACTCCAGTGGATGGTAGAGGACAGGAAGGCCTGGAGGAATGTTGTCCATGGGGTCGCAATGGGTTGGACATGACTTCACAACAGAGATTGAGCTGCAATCCTTAATGTATTTATCAAAGCAATAAATACTATCAGAAGCAGATTATGTAACACACACAGCACCGACCAGTATTTTTCTCCCTAAATTGTTTCAAATTTCTAAGAATCATCAAGATCAAAAATAGAAAACTGAGATTAAACAACAGTGGAAAATATTGTTTATTGTTTACCTGGACACAGTTCAGCCAGTACCGCACATCTGTAAAACTGTATTCTGAGGTGATGTCATACATCAAAACAACTCCATCAGCCTTTCGGAAAAACTGCTTGGTGATACTGTGATATCTGTCAGGAAACATGTGTTATTTTTTCACAAATATGTGTGTGCATACTGTACATAAGTGTGTTCATACTGTACATACTGATTCATGTGCATGATTGTGTATGATAAAAAAAATTAAAATCATATATTTTCTTTTCAATTTCTTGGAACCTAATTTTCTTTAACAACTGAAACAGAAGGGAAAAGGTCTTTAGAGTTTATATGTTGTTTAATTTGTTTAATATATTTAATATGTTGTTATTGTTAAGAATAGAGCAACATGGTGGCCTAGTGGTAAAGATGCTTGCCTCCCATTCGCAAGGTTGAGGGTTCAATTCTTGGTAGAGGCTGATGTTTTTCTTCTAGGACCCAAAGAAAAAATATGTGCTGTGAACTCTGCATGGCATCAGGAAGGCACCCAGCCAGTAAATGCTCGGCTCCATTCAGTCACCCCAACCTCTACCCCAAATTAAGAGATTACAGGGTTGTAAAAAGGAAGTTTTGTTGTTAGGAATACTGTATGCATATATGTACATACTATGACTATGACATACAATATATTTTAAAGTACACAAAGCTACAAATTTCATAAACTATGCCAGACAACTATTTTAGGATGGATGGATAGATAATTTCTGGATCACAGAATTTAAGTATTCTGCTACATTGGTCAGGACCTCATAAGTACTGTGAGTAACACTATTCTGGAGATCCCACTTTAACAAAGATTCTTAAAAGGCATATTAAGAATGGCCAAGGCCCCGAATCTAAATCTTATAAGGTAGTCTTGAACTTATGACAATAGAGACAATAAAGAATTTTGATTGTTAAGCAAATCATTGCATGACTAGATCCAATTTTGCAACCATCTTTACTGTGGTTTTTAAGTAAATCAATGTGGTTGTTAAGCAAATCAAGTAGTTATTAAGTCAATCACCCAGTCGTTAAGTGAACTGAGATTTTGCTGATTGGAAACCAGCTGAGACATTCACAAATCATAATCATGTGACTACAAGACAAATGTTGTAAATACATGCCAGTTGCCAAGCACCCGAATTGAGATTGTGTGGGCCGCAAGGGTGGTGCAATGGTTGTAACTTTGAGGACGTGCTGTTAGTCACTTTATCCAAGGCCATGGGCACCATTGTTAAACAAGTCCTTAAGCCGAGGATTCTCTGTAAAAAGGGATTGAGGGGTGGATACATTTATCCTTGAGATAAGGGAGTTACGATTGCACTTTTCAACCACTTGATAAAGAGCCTCTATCCCGCAAAGAAAGACATAGAATAATGACCTTAAATTACAAAAGGACTCATGGGATACAGTGTTAGAAAAATCTTCAAAAGGTAACGACAGTTCAACGTTGGAACTAATTACCTGGAGAGGCAAATACATTTTTATGATATGTTCATATAAAGGTTAGATCAGTGGTGGGATTCAAGTAATTTAACAACCGGTTCTCTGCCCTAATGATTTCTTCCAACAACCAGTTTGCCAAACTGCTCAGAAAGTTAACAACCGGTTCTCCCAAAGTGGTGCGAACCTGCTGAATCCCACCACTGGGTTAGACAGCTTTTAGTCAGAGATGCTACAATCTGGCTTCTTACATTGATTAAGCAATTGCACTGAATTGCTGAAATGACGTGAACGGTTGCATGAATGATCTGCTGATGGGAGTTTCCCTTCAATAACAGAATTTGCAGTTATAAAGCCATTCAACAGTTCTGGGAACAAACATTATCCATCCAAATTAATCGCACCAGTCTTGAGCGTAGTCCAAAGTCAGTTTCCTAACATTTTGTCTTTATTTTTGCAGCCTTTATACTACCTTTCTTGTCCGGCTGTGTCCCACAGACGTAAAGCAAAGCATTTGCTATCCAAAAGCAGGTTTTTGATCCGATAGTCCATTCCTACAGAATACAATGCAATCATTTACAATAGAATTCAGGTCAAGCTTCAAGCTGGCTCAAATAAAACAAAACAAAACAAAGAACCCTGAGGAATGCAAGCAGGAATTTTACAGATAGGAGTAGAATATTGAAGATCAATCATTTTGCAGGTGTTAATAAAATCAAGGTTTTACCTAGCATTGCTATTTGCAGGCAGAGAATGACTTTGGATTGTCTTTCATGTTAACTATAACATTAAAAAGAAAAGAAATAGAAGCTTATGCAAAATCCTCCTAGGAGAAATGAGATAATGTAAAGAAGATATACATCCTCCCTATGTTTTCCTTTAAAAGTGTGTAGAGTTCAACTTAATAACAGAATAATAACAGATTAACAAGGTTGGAAGGGGCCTCGTAGGTCATTTAGTCCAAACCCCCGTCCAAGCAGGAGACCCTGCTTGGACAAGCATGGTTGTCCAACAGTATTATAATGCAAGGAAGGAACAACATTAGATATACAGAAGAAAAAAAATAATGTTTTCCATTATTTATCAGAAGTCCTACTTAAATAACAAATGTGCCAGGACAAAAGGAATTCACTCTATTGGTGCATTATTTATATAGCACATCCTGGCACTTAAAAGGGCCACGTTGGTTGGAAGATGCCTCCAGTATACAAAAAGTTAATTATCTCCAAAAGGGACCCTGACAGAGCAATAGGAAGCGCAATGGGACAGCTCGTCACAGTCAACTCGCTGTGGGACAACTCACCACAGGACAACTTGCTGCAGGACAATTCGACAATTCAATTTAATTATTCAAAATAATTTTCAAAATAATTTTAATTTTTGTCATTCAGATTTCATTTGGTCCTTCTTTTGGCATCATTTCGCTAATGATTCTATTCCACTGCTTCTTCGATATTGGTGAAACTCTTGTCCCGCAGCAAGTTGGTTATGGCAAGTTGTCCTGTGGCGAGTCAGCCATGGGGAGTTGGTTGCAGCAAGTTGGCCGTGGCGAGTTGGCCGTGGTGAGATGGAAGTAGAATCAGAATTAATAGTAGGTGGTATTCAGTACAAACCAAGGGCTTCAAATCAGAAAGAGTTACCTCTTTGTATGCATAACATGAGCCCATTTTAAAAAAAAAAAAATCCCAAGAAATCTGTTTTCCTTCAAGATATTGAAGGAGTTGTTTAGCTCCATATAGCTAAAATGTTTATCTTTTCTTTTTAAAAAATCCTACTTTGTTAAAGAATAGTTCCAGCTAAAATTTATTTGCATCCTGTTGGGTTACATTTGAATAACAATAAAAACAGCTATTATTTATGCTGTTATTAATGTAATATTACATTAAAATGACACTTGCTGTCATTTATTGGTCATCTGGATTTCTGTAACCCAAATCTGATAGTTCTATTAAAAGAGGCATAAGTCAAAGCAAAATCAAAGAAACAAAGAAAACAAAACCAGACTTTTCAAAAGGAAAAACCTATATATTTTCACATGATTTTCAAGCACGATTCATACCTATAGTTGCAGTCACTTTTGCTTCAAAAGAATCATTTTGCAACTTGTTTAAAAAGGAAGTTTTGCCAACATTAGAATCTCCTACAAATAGCACATTATAAAAGTGATCTGGATGAGAATACAGAATGGCCGTGTCTTTAGAAGTTTCTTTATTCATTTGGCAATCACAAACTTCTGTTCTAACACTGGTTTCTTCATTAAATTCTGCACTGACCTCTTGATTCTTCTTACACTCAGATGGACCAATCCATCTTTCTCTTCTGCCTTCTGATGAGTACATCTTTAGCCTTTCAGCAAGTTCTGTGTGCGTTCCTGGTCCAAACATATTCTGTAACTGACTGCTTGGATTATGCCCTGCTGGTAACTTGGGTAGAGCCACCTTGGGCAGAAAATACTCTGATGGCACATTTTTCAGTAGAGGATGTTGAGTCTGAGATACCTTTCTATCTAGAATTTTCATTTTTGCAGACTGGTTTGCCACACCTTCTTCAGTGGATAACTGTGGAACCTGAATGGTATCCTTGTGTTTTAAAACGTTCTTTTTATGTTCAGGTTGGGTTTCCCCTTCTAAAAGTAGAATCCCACTTTCAATTGGGCTTTTCTTGTAGTCACTGACCTGTATTGCCGAGTCTGAATAAACAAAAGGTTGAATCATGGAAACAAAGCTTTCTCTCAGTGTAGGCTCTGTAGTTTTGACTTCCGTTCTGATTTTAGAAAAATTCGCTCGCTTCATCTCCAGATCTCTGACTTGTACACGAACTGGTACTTCTCTAAACTGACCTCCTGCTTCTGAAATAGCCACTTCAGAAATTCTATTTTGTATGGTTTTGTTTGTTGAGCATTCTTTTATTGGAGACAGAGGCATTATATTTTGTTGAGAATTTCCATGATATTTAATATGATCCAAGGGCTCTTGTTGAAAACCAAAATCATACATTTCTTGATAACGGGATCCAGACATTTTGTTCTGTGCTGCAATAGCCTCATTCAACTCTTTAAACAAAGAATTTGTATCTGAAGGCTCCTGTAGAAAGTATTGATCTTCATCTACAAAAGGCTCTATCAAAGGATCCTCTTCAGTGGAAATCATTCTTCTACAGGATTCTACATCAGCTTCAGTCATTGATGTCAAATCATCAGATGTCCTGTCACATCATTAACAATACAAAGGAAAAAAGAAATGAGTGCTCTTAAGGATACAGATCCTGAATTCTGAATTCTAGTAACACAAAAGTACCTACCAGGAATATGGAATTCCTACATGCATTAAATATCCTCTAGCCTATCCATTATTGAATGAGTCCAGGTTCAACTCCACCTTGCCATAATGGTAGTCCTTGAGTTACAATGGCAATTGGGACCAGAATTTCAATCACTAAATGATACAGCTGTTCTGTTCTGCTCAGCTGTAAAGCACAATGTCACATGGCCCCATCACTTAGCAATGGCAATCCCTGGCACATCATTAAATTCCTGGGTCATTAAGCAAGCACCAGCATACAACTTTCTGCCTGTTTTCAATAACCAAAATCAGTGGGGAAGCCTGTAGGAAGTTACAAATCCCAGGCAGCTCAAAAACAGGCCAGCGGACAGGTAAGTGGGAGAAGGTGGGAGAAGGAGCAAGGGGGTGTATGAGTAGCAGGGGAGGCATGACAGAGGTAGAGGGGTGTTTGGGGTGGCTGCTGATCGGTGGGAGAGGGTACACAAGAGTGCACAAGTGGCAGGGGAGGCATGAGGCAAGCACAAGGCTCAGGGAAGATGAGTGAGGGTGCATGAGTGGCTGGGGAGGCACAATGTGAACATGAGGCTCAGGGACAGTGCGGGAGGATCTGTGGGTGGCTTGCAAGGCTTAAGAGCAGAAAGGTTGGGAGACGGAGAGCAACTTCCAGTCATCCCTTCTGGCTTCTCCATTGACTTTGTTTGTGGGGAAACAGCAGGGAAGGTCACCAATGGCAATCACATTGCTTTGAGGACCAGCCATAACCACCATTTGTTCAGCTCTGTCATATGATTGTTGAACAAGTGGTTGTTAACCAAGGAATATCTTCATTTACCCTTATTAGTATTGGGGGGAGAGGGAATGACTTCTGCTTTTTACTAGCAGCAGCAGTAGTAAGAAGTTTGGAGCCCAGTTCATCAAGTAATAATTTTCTGTACCGAAGGTAGATATCCACTTTTGCAGAAGATTCAAAGAAGTTTTCTTTAAGGGTTTTTTTGGTCTGTTATAAAACACAGTCTGAATCGCTTTTTCCTTTGTTCTCTAGCATGTGAGTTAATGGATAATGGAGGCTCAGAATTCAAACTGGTTTTTAAGTTCTTGAATACACCTGTTACTTCACTCTTGCCTTAGAAGCTCCTGGCCCCACCTATACAGGAAACTATTCCTTTCCCTTCTATCCTATCTTTATATAAAAGCTGTTATAGATGTGTTTTGACCCTTACTGTTGTATAGAGCTATCCATTTTATCCTCATTCAGAACATATTCCATGTTCACCTCCTGTTGAGAGAAGATTGTCTCATCTAAATTCACAGGCTCCTTAGAGAAGGAAGAAAGCAAGAAGAAAAATATTTAAGATTAATTCTGTATTTAGTTTGTGGGGGGAAATGCAAAATACTATTCAGCATGATCTACTACTGTGACTTTCCCAATTTCTAAAGAGACAATTGTGCAGCTTTTCTTTATTTTTGATGTGATAGGAACCAATGGGGAACAAAGGCAAAAAAGCACAGCTCAAGGACTTTAAGAGCCCAGCAGCAATATAATCTTCCGCTGAATCAAAGTGTTTCACATACATTCCTTTCTCCAGCAAGTGAATCAAACTTTTAAACTTTATTATCATTTATAAGAAAATAGCATAAAAGAAAAGTATTTATTTTCCAAGCTCTTCTATCAGAAGCAATTCCTATAAGGAAACACTTAAACATCTTCAGTGGGACATTTCATTTTTCTGCAACATACTTTGGATTTGTTGAAGATTCTTTATTAAAGCTTAAAAATCATCCATAAAACTAGAAATAAATATCATACTATCAGATTAAATTTACTTGCTGATGACTACATATGTATAGGAGTGAAAATCATTTTGGAAATAATAAATGAAACCATGACGTATCCATCTGCAGAATTTCTAGAAAGTAGCATAGCAATAGGAAAAAATCAAATAAAATAAATACTTTTTGAACTTTATTGTAACTTTAATCTAAACTTTATTGATTACAGCTACCAAAGGTAGGCATAGCATAAGGTTAGATATGTACTTCAGATAATTTTTTAAACTACAGTATTATTTTTAAAAATAAGCAAAATAGCTAAACAACATTCTGTATACCCGATGAATTAATTGTAGTCCATGAAAGCTTATGTAAGAAATAAATGTATTTAATTTTAAACTTTTAAGTGCTCTTAAAGAGATTTTGCTATGGACGCTCCACTAAGACTGGAGTTTTTTAATATGATTTTTACAAAATTGTTAGCTATTAAAAAAGAATATAGAAGTTACATTAATAAAATTGTACATGCTGCAGTTTTTTCTTTTCTGTTAAAGCTACAAAGATGAAAGATGAGAAAAGCTGTTATCCATCCATCTACCTGGATCACTGAATAAATCTTATACAGCTTATACAGAATAATTAACTTAGAAGGGAATCCATTCTGCTTCTAATCAAAGGACACAAAGCAAACAGTGGCTCATATAGAAACACAGGAAATGAAGCTTAGTGAAAGCAGAAGTTGTGTCCTATTAAATTCAATGACCAACTAAACCTTAGATATTATCAGAAAGCTACCTCCAGTATTAATTCAGAAGAAAATGTTGGTGTCAGCAATGAGCAAATAGTACCTGCGCAGAGTGAGGATCCTTGCTGGTGTCTCCCTCCATTTCTGTGTCTCTGCAAAGAGAAGAAGGAACATAGCACAGATTTTTCCATTTCTTCCATGCACCTTTGCGAATTGCTTCAGTAGAGATATACACCTGGCAGCAGGAATACAGTCAAAACTAATAAAGTAATGTGTAGAGAGGATGGAAATACAAATGATGGTGCAAAGAGAAATGGGTGTTCTCTCAAGGGGTCAAGGAAAAGAGAATAATCACACTGCATCCCTAATAAAGGTTTTTCAAAAACAGAACAGCCTCTGAATATTTATTTCAAGACGTGTTAAGAGTACCAGTACAATTAAAATGCTCTTTTTCCTGCCATAACTCCACATGCTTATCCCACCTTTTTGTGCAAAATTATTGGGGGATGAAATTGAGCTGTTCTATGCTTACCAAGTTACCATGGTGCCTGTGGAGCAAATTAATAGATATTGATGGGAGTGGGTGTTTTAATGTTGCAAGACTTATCCAGATGGGAAAAAAACCCACAAGCATTTCCATTAGCTAAGAAGTGTCTCATTCAGTCCTGCAAATAATCAATCTGTTTCCTGCACACCTTAGCCTTTCTTCCATGATGGAACTCAAAGAGATGTGCGTTTGTTTTTCATATTGTTTGTCAGGAGTACAGAATATATGTCCATGAACATTTTATGGACAAAATAGTGAGAATATACTTCCCCTTCACTATTGCTTCAGTTCATTTTCTGCAAGAAATTTGAAAATGATCTTTCATTTTCTTCTCTTCTACCCACTAAAAAATCCTGAGAACAGAAAGCAAAACTCATTGTCCTGTCCTGAGTTGTTAGAAATCATCCTGCAGTAGCAGCAAGGAAAAAAGCCATCTCAAATCTTCCAAACTTTTGCACACAGTTGATCTCCTGCCAAGTGGTGTAGCATGAACAGGTACAGAGCCAATCCAGGAGCAGCAGCAAAACAAAAAAAACCAACCTCGCAAATTTCATGTGGAAGTGTCTTAAAACAGCATAAAACAAAAATTAATAGTGAATAAAACATTGTAGTTTTATTTTATCAAAATGCTCAAAAAAGTTTGGAAGATCTTCCCCCACAAGGGTATCACATAGGCAATAAACTGACTTGTAGCAGTGTGCCTAAGAGAGTAGATCTTAAAAAGAGACTTGGATTATCAATTTATGGTTCTAACCCTCAGCAACTTTAAGATTGCTGGTTTCATGCTCCCAGTAATCTCCTGCATTGGTCTTTTCATCCTGTAAATGGTAAAGGTAAAGGTTCCCCTCGCACATATGTGTTAGTCGTTCCCGACTCTAGGAGGCGGTGCTCATCTCCATTTCAAACCCGAGGAGCCAGCGCTGTCCGAAGACATCTCTGTGGTCATGTGGCCGGCATGACTAAACACCAAAGGCGCATGGAATGCTGTTACCTTCCCACCAAAGGTGGTCCCTATTTTTCTACTTGTATTTTTTACGGGCTTTCAAACTGCTAGGTTGGCAGAAACTGGGACAAGTAACAGGAGCTCACCCCGTTATGCGGCAGTAGGGATTCGAACCTCTGAACTGCCAACCTTTTAATCGACAAGTTCAGCATCTTAACCACTGAGCCACCGTGTCCCTCTATGTTTCGTCCTATATGTATGTTTTATTCTGTAGGAACCCTCAAATCAAATCTGAGTCCTTTCAAGTCTCAAAGCAGCCCTGCATAAACATTGCAAATATACAAAAAGTTCCAACAAAATTCACTTCTAACCTATACAATCCATGCTTTTACAACATTTACAAAAACAGAACCAAAGAAGCAATTAGGTAGCTGAGTCAAGGCAAGTAAAAATTCCCACCATTGCAAACATTAGCATTATGTGGCAAAGTTCAAAACAATTTTTTTAAAAAAAATCACGATCTCTCATGGAATCCCAGTTGACAAAAGCCGCTGTAAAGATGAGAGCAAAAGTCGTTGCTTTGTGAGAGCTTTGTGTCGTTTGACTCCAAATGATCGATATTAGAATCAGCAGGTTTTTATTTAACGTGGAGCTTTTGAACAAAAGAAGACCCAGATGTGCTGCTGGGCCTAGGCAACAAGGACCGGGGCTCTGAATCCAGTTTTCCTAGCCCAGTGAAGTACAAAGAAGAGGGGGAAATCATTTAACAGCAACCAAATAAAAAACAAGGGTGGGAGATGCAGGAAGACTATGGTCCTCAAAAGTGATGATGCTCCTCAACAGAGGGAGAAGAGATAGGCATCATATAGCATGAGTGGCCAGTGCACTGTGCATAGAACATAGAATAATAGAGTTGGAAGGGACCTTGGAGGTCTTCTAGTCCACTCCTTTGCTAGAGCAGGAGATACCATTTCAGACACTTGGTTGTCCACTCTCTTTCTGAAAGCATTTGGGACCAACTGAAATGTGCAGACCTTCTTCCAAGGCAACCATCCATACAATTATTAGGACTCACCTGTCTTCACTGTACAGTTGGGATATTCTATCCTTCATGACATCCAGGCACCTTTCAGTCTTTTGAAGCTGATGGAGGGTTTGATGGAGCTGATTTTCAAGGCTGCTCTTGATTTGTTGCAGCTGCTGGGTTTGGGTGCTGGTCACCAGTTGTTTCTCCCTGAGACTGACCAACTGAGTTTCAAGCTGAGAAATAAAAAAAAATCCAGTAGAGCAGTAGAACAGTTTAGTATGGTGGTTAAGGCACCAGGCTAGAAACCATAAAACTGGGAGTCCTAATCCCACCTCAGCCATGGGTGACTTTGGGTCAGTCATTTTCTCTCAGCCCAAAACTTCACAAGGTTATTGTTGTGGGGCAAACAAAAGAAGAAGTATTATGTCTGCTGCCTTGAATTATTGAAAAGAACATAACAAAGGCAGAATATAATTCTTTAGTTGGCTCCGGAGGTAAAAATAGAAGGAAGGCCAGGGATGCTGCCATCTTGAGCTCTTCTTACAAGAGAAACCAGATAGTCTGATGGTGGTAAAACCAGATGGGACCTAGTTTGCTTAGGGTTGAAGGCTTGGGGGAGGATGGCAAAGTTAATGAAACAGCTGGCAATTTTCTACTCTCCCCTCAGGAGCCTCGTGTCCACCATGATGCCACCTTGCCGTGCCCAACTCACAATTATGTGTGCCAGCCTGAGCTAGGAATAGATGGCAAGCGAATGAGATGGCAGAGAAATCAGAGGCATGGGGGGAGGGGGTGTTCGGCTGCTATCCAGGCATTGCAACTTCTGTGGCTTCTCACTTCTTTTTCACCTTCTAAGCAGGGGTGAAATCCAGCAGGTTCTAACAGGTTCTGGAGAACTGGTAGCGGAAATTTTGAGTAGTTCGGAGAACCGGCAAATACCACCTCTGGCTGGCCCCAGAGTGGGGTGGGAATGGAGATTTTGCAGTATCCTTCCCCTGCCACGCCCACCAAGCCACGCCCACCAAGCCACACCACACCCAAGCCACACCCACAGGACCAGTAGTAAAAAAATTTGGATTTCACCACTGCTTCTGAGCCTTTTCAGTGGTTGTAGAGCAGGGGCAGGGAAGAAGCGGATTTATTATCCTCCACTTGCCTTTCTCCTGTCCATCCACCTTTAATAACCACTCGTCAGGGAGGCTGTTCTGCAACTGAATTTTTTAAATCTCCCAAATCAGTATCTGGGTTGGAAAAAAGCAGATGGCGCTCCACCCATTTGAAATAACATTGACCCCTCCATATACATACACACCTTTTTAAAGTAAAATGTCCTGTGCAATTAAAAACTGGGAAATGGCAAAAACTGAGCAGATTTCATCTTTTGTCACTGTCAGATGTAAATGCCTTATTCTCCAATGTGTAAATAATGTATATAATGGAACATCAGAGGTTAACTTATTCTTTGGACTTTAATGTATTCATAACTTACCACTCCCATTCCTAGCTCCACCCCTTGTATATATAAGGAGCCACCCTCACCATTCTCGTTGCTTCTACCTTGAATATTCAGTGAATATAGAATGCCTATCATAATTAAAAAGAAATATATTTAAAGCTTTAACTTCTATTATCTTTATTGAGTCTGATCCTGGAAATATTGCAACAAGCTGGTAGCAGAGGATGGTTAATTGACTCAATAAGTAATTAAAAATGTCCAAGAAAGATAGGCCCAACACCAGGGCCTACAGCAAAGAAATAGAAACTGATCAAGAGATGATCAACGAATCCACCAATGCGATTTCGAGAGAATCCGAAGAATACACCACTAAAGAAGAAGAACTAATGAGTGAAAATAATGACCAGAAAGAAATCGAAATAGAAAATAACGAACTCAGGTCAGAGATATTAAAGATACTAAAAAGCCAAAAGAATGATGAAAGTCTCATCGCGGACCTCCAGGAGATGCTGAAGAACAGCGGAGCAGCGAGAGAGAAAAACGTCATTAAAGAAAAACCCAAAGATCAAAAAATCGTAAGTGAGATGACTACTGAGAAAATAGTTGTTAAAAAGAAAAGATGTGATCCCGCGCGAAATTTTGAATGGCAGCCATCTTGGTTTCAACGAACTTCAAAAGAGAATGGAGCAGAGCCAATCAAAACGCTCAGTTCAAAATTTCTGACGCGAAAAACACTATCAGACGAAGAAAGTGAGAAAGAAGTCTCAAACTCTTCAGATGATCCAAAATCAGAAAGTGAAGACGATTTAACAAAATCTCAAGTAAAATCAGCAATGAAAACGCTTTTTGCTGCTTTTGGGCCAAGACTGAAAATTACCAAGACATCTACGAAGAAGCAAGAAATCAAACCGGCGACTCAAGACCTGCACGCTCCCATCCTGACTTCGAAAGCGACGACGCCCGAGCCCAGAGAGCCATGCCGATTTCGCCCTACACCACAGACAAAATCGAATACCAACGCACACAAAAAGAAGAAAAGAACCGTCACCACCACCAGAACCCCAAAAACCGAGCCAGAGACCGACTCATCTGAGGAGGAGCGGATCGAGAGAGCTGAAAGGGAGAGAACCTTCCACGACGCCACCAAAGAAGAAATGAACAACGCGCATGTGCGAAACTACGTAGACGACCCAGAAGGACTTGAACTGGCCAGAGAACCGCGCAGACTCATTGCAAGCATCCCAATGCCGTTCTGTAATTTCCTGCACTTGAGAGATCACGGACTGCCCCAGGTTGTAAGTAATGGACAGAATAATGTAGGTAACTTACCCAGTGACTTCCCAAACTTAGAATTGATGGCATTAATTTACAAGAGTGGTATCAACAGCTTCAGGTTATTTTCATGAAAGAAAATTTACTATTCTTTATAACTAGCCCTCCAAGAAGACCTTGGACTTTAAAAATAGATTGTTTACATCATAGAGCATTTTTCATAATAATATCTAGCGTGTCTCCTGCAATGTATCATAGCATCAAACCAAACCTAACTGTATCAGAAATAATTCAATGCATGTTTAATCTATTTCACAGCGATAGCGTAGCTACAACCACAAGAATGTCTAAGGATTTCTTTTTCCTCTAGAGTAAAACCAGGGGTTTCTATAAGTGAGCATTTGATAAATCTAAACAAAATAAGAGCTGAGCTACAATTGAGGGGGGAAGTGATTTCAGATCAAACAATGAAAAGTGTTATTATCAATTCACTTGATCCATCATGGGATAGCTTTATGTCACACTTAGATACCATTAATTTGGGATATTTATCCATAGAAAGTCTATCTAACAAATTGATAGCAGAAGACAATTCAAGAAAAAATCGATCCAGTAACCAAACAGACCACAAACCTTTTAGGAAAGTAGTCTTTCAAGATAAACATAATGAGGCCTTTAGATGCTACAATTGTGGATCCAGGGAACATAGTAGAAGAGACTGCCCCAAAGTCTCAAGAGAGAGACATAGACCAGAATATAGGAGCAAATATAATTACAGACAATCTTCCACAGATAGACACAAATATAGAAGCCCACCAAATTACAAAGAAGGTAGAGGGGGTAGAGAAAATTCAAAAGAGAGGAAATCTGGGTCACTGAATGGGCTAAATAAACAAGACAGCACCAGAACACAGCAGGATGAGAATAACAATTGGCTTATTGATTCTGGTGCAACAAATCACACCACCAACAACAAAAGTATATTATCTTCATTTATAGAAGATAAGTTTGTGATAAAGGTAGCTAATCAAGAAAAGGTTCAAGTACTAGGCAAAGGAAATGTGACCTTGCCTGGTCTAGGGAAAATAGAGGGGGTATTATTAATCCCAGAAATACCTCACAACATACTAAGTGCCATAAAATTAAGCAGAGAATCTGATATCAATATAGTTTTCTCAAAGGGGAAAGCAACTATAGAAAAGAACAAAACAAATGTAGGTACTGTAATGATAAAAGGAGGTCTACCCTATCTGATAACTAAAGAAAGATGTTTACATAACATTGATTCAAATATGGAAGATTGTATTGAAGCAGATGATGAAAATGTCAGTAACAGTGACAATGATGAGTGTAGAATAACTCATGATCACAAAAACACATACAAGGAAAAGAAACCAAAAATAGGTAAACCAATTCATGATGAGTGTGCTCACATCTTACACAGGAAGTTAGGACATGCAAGCTTTCCTGTAGTACAAAAAATGACTGAACACGCAGAAGGTGTCAAAATAAAAAATTGTGAAAATTATTTGGAATGCTCAGTATGTAAGTCCACCAAACTAAAAACCAGTCCCAGACCAAAAAAATCTAACAGATCAACTAACAATATTTTTGATTTAGTACATATGGACTTAGTTGGTCCATTAAGTCCCTCAATTACCTATAGAAAACGTTACTTCCTAACAATAGTGGATGACTACAGCCGATATGGTTTTGTTTACACATTAAAGCACAAGGATGAAACATTTCAGAAATTTAAGGAATTCTACAAACGTATAGAAACACAACATAATATCAGAATAAAGCAAATTATGACAGATAGGGGATGTGAGTTCATGTCTAAAGAATTCTCCCAATGGTTAAAGGATAGAGGAATGTTACATTTCACGTCCAATCCTTTTTCTGCATTTCAAAATGGAGTTGCAGAGAGGAAAAATTCCACACTACAAACCATGATTAGGTGCACATTAGAGGATGCTGGTTTAGGCAAACAATTTTGGTCAGAGGCATTACATTATTCGAATTACACTCAAAATAGAACCTGGTCCAGTATTGTGAATAAGACACCATATGAGGTGATGTACAATAGAAAACCCAAATTATCACACATGCACATATTTGGAGTCACTGCAGACGTACACATACCTAAACAATTGAGGAGAAAGGGAGAAAACGTATCCAGGAGATTAAGATTCATGGGATACGAAACTGGAACCAAAGGGTACAGATTTATTGATAGTAATAACAAATTTATAGTATCCAGAACAGCTGTGTTCCATGAACAGGCCAATTGGTCAAAATTGCACCTTAATGAAATATTTCCTAATAAATGTAAAGATAAGATATCTTGCGAGGAAGGAACAACAGAAAATCAAAATATTAACAAAAGTAAGAACAAAACCAAAACTTGGACTAATAGTCAGCATAAAATAAAGACAGACACATTAACAAAAAAGGAAGCTAGATATTTGCATGATAACCATAGCAAGCCTGAAAGAACTATTAGAAACAATAGAAACCAAATACCAAATAAATACAAAGATTACATAATGCATATGAATGGAGAACAAATAACACCTAATACATATGAAGAAGTATTGAAACTTCCACATGAAGAAAGAGAAAAATGGGAACTAGCTATGGAAAAAGAGATGGAAAGTTTACAAGGATTAAATGTATTCACACCTGCGATCGCACCTAAGGATAAAACAATTATAGGTACCAGGTGGATTTATAAAATTAAGAACTTAGAAGGAGGCAATACCTTATACAAGGCTAGACTAGTTGCACAAGGCTATGCACAAAAATATCCAGAAGACTATACTGATACATATTCACCCACAGTGAGAACAGAGAGTGTCAAAACAGCCCTTGTAGTAGCATCTGCACTCAATCTGGACGTATTCCAATATGACATACAGACCGCATACTTACATGCAAAATTAGATAAGGAAATATATGTAAGAGCACCACACAGTCAATACACTAATAAGAACGAAATTTGGTTATTAAATAAGAGTCTGTACGGATTAAAGCAATCCGGCAAAAGATGGTACGATTGCTTGGTAATAGTACTTAAGACCATGGATTTCAACGCCACCACTGCTGATAACTGTTTCTTTGTAAAAAAGAGTAATGATCATATTGAATTTGTATTAATTTACGTGGACGATATTTTATACATTGGAAAGCATAAAGAGAGCAGGGAAATCTTTGTAAATAAGTTAAATGAACACTTCTCACTGAAATCTCTGGGTAAAGTGAATAAATACCTTGGTGTGCAAATTAACAAAACTAAAAGGGGATTCAAACTTACACAGAAAGATAAAATCATCGAACTCCTAAACAAATGTAACTTAAATAATGCTAAAACCTGTGACACCCCTATGCAAACTGATTTTCTTAGAAACACTGATGAATCTTCCCCTGAGTTTAAAGACAACACATTTTACAGATCAGTTATAGGTTCACTCCTTTATATATCTAATTGGACTAGGCCAGATATTGCATTACCTCTCAATCTATTGTCAAGATATGTTAGTAAACCAACCTTGTATCATTGGGAAGCTGTCAAAAGAATTCTAAGATATCTGAAGGGTACATTAGATTTTTGTTTAATGTTGCAACCCAATAATGACAGAGAACCAAAAATTACTTGTTATGCTGATGCAGATTGGGCTGGTGATACATCATGCAGAAAGAGTACTTCTGGTTATGTTTTTCTATTGAATGATTGTCCAGTTTACTGGTATACTGGTAAACAAGAACTAGTAGCCACTTCTACTACAGAAGCGGAATATGTTTGTTTGTCCAAAGCTGCAAATAACCTTGTATGGTTCAATGATCTGATCACTGATGTTTGGAAGAAACCCACCTTACCATTTATTATGCATGAAGACAATAAAGCGGCCATTGAAATATCCAGATCCGATGCAATTGGACAAAGGTCCAGGCATATTGATATAAAGTTTAAGCATGTGAGACAACTGTCTCAAGACGGATTCATTAAAGCAATACATTGCGATACTTCTGAACAATTAGCTGACATATTAACAAAACCCTTACCTTCTAAACAACACAAATATTTAACTTCTAAATTATATGTATTATATTGTCCTGAATCAGAATGTAATTGGTGTTGTGTAACGAACCGCATTTAGAGGGGATTTGTCAGATGTAAATGCCTTATTCTCCAATGTGTAAATAATGTATATATGGAACATCAGAGGTTAACTTATTCTTTGGACTTTAATGTATTCATAACTTACCACTCCCATTCCTAGCTCCACCCCTTGTATATATAAGGAGCCACCCTCACCATTCTCGTTGCTTCTACTTGAATATTCAGTGAATATAGAATGCCTATCATAATTAAAAGAAATATATTTAAAGCTTAACTTCTATTATCTTTATTGAGTCTGATCCTGGAAATATTGCAACAGTCACAAACAAACAAAGAAATTGAGGGTTGGGGCTGGGACTGGGGTGAGGAACAGGCAATTGTTGGATGTTGCTGGATGTGACACAGTTAAAGATAAGAAAAATGATAAAGCAACCTAATGTGAAAAATATTTGTTCTGTCTGAAAACAGTTTGTTCAGCCTATTCAAAAACTGGGCCTTGACGTAAGCTTCCATTGGAAACAACCTTTGACACGTCTAAAACTCTACAGAGCCGAGGTGGCACAGTGGTTAGGGTGCAGTACTGCAGTTACTTCAGCTGACTGCTAGTTCAGCAGATCAAATCTCACCAGCTCAAGGTTGACTCAGCCTTCCATCCTTCCGAGGTGGGTAAAATGAGGACCCAGATTGTTGGGGGCAATATGCTATTTAGTATACTGTCTTTGGTGTAAGCTGCCCAGAATCCTCGGAGAGTGGGCGGCATAGAAATATGAATAATAAAAAAATAAATAATAAAAATAATAAAACTCCTCCAGGGATCACTAGGGACCAAGTGGCTGGGGTTAGGCAGAGGAAGTGATAATGTTACTAATATCTGAGAATGAATATTTTTCAACTAAGCTATACATAAGTTTATTTTTCTTTTATGTTTCCACCTAGCGCAACTCTGTTCCATAGGTAAACAGATCTCTTCAGTCTTGTGACCTCCCAAAGGACTGCATTTTGCATAACTTCCACCCAATGGGAATTCCGAGCGTGCAATTATAGAATTATGAAGGTTGCACTCCATCTGTAATTGCAGGCAGGAAATTGGAAGCTGGCAACAAAAGCTCAAAAATACCAGAATAGTTTCAAGAGATACCTCCCTATGGCATTTCAACCTGTCCAAGAAGATCTAGAAGGGAGGACTCCCTCTGGATTCTCACTCCAAAGGAGTGTCATCAGCAAGGGCCACCAGGGAGAGTTTGCTCAGTTGCTGCCTCCATTGGAACAACATCTCTCCCAAGCTGTCTCAGGCTGTCACCAGCCTTGCAGCTTCATTAAAACTATTAAGCCCTGAGTGTTCCAGAAGGCATTCAGGGTGGATGGGATTAGGCCCCTCCTACAGTAGTGTATGTTATGTACTTGGGTGTGTTTGTTGTTCTTAGTGGTTCAAAGGAAGAGTATTGCTTTAATCTTGTTACCGGAAAGTAGGAATGCAATCTGCTTGCTTGGAGTCATTAATAGTTAAAGCAGGTAAGAAGCCTAAGTACATAAATATTTCATAGCAAGCTTCCAAAGTGGTGTCACTTTCTGCTTGCAGTAAACAACAGCCAGTGTTTCTGCATAAAATTGAAAGTATTGAAAACAGCAGCTTCAAAATGATGATTTGAAACAAAGGACAAGCTTCCAGCAGGTGGCGCTGCTTCTGTTTCAAGAAATTAACTCCTATCAATCAGGATGACAAAATAAAGTATATTTTTCAATCTGAAAGTGGAAAAATGCCACAGTGCTGTGAAAGATTGAAGAAGTGGTTGCAATCATATGCTCTTGCTTACTTCGTGTCCCACTGATATTTTACCTCTTTTTGATCAATGAGGGAATGCTGAATTTCCTGTTCTCTAACATCCAATTCTTGCTGCATCTCTGTGTAATGCAACTGACTCCTGGCTTTACTCTGCAACAGTAAATTGTAATGAAACTATAAGGTTGCAAAAAACAAAAATCCCAACAACCAGCCACCCTAATGCATTTCTATACATGAAGCTTGTCTTCTATAAATCAGGCTTTGAAGAGAAGGTTATATACCTTTGGAGAAATTGTCAGAAATTCAGGTTTCTGGACAGACTGGCAGCCATAACTCTTCCATGATAATTTATTCTATATCCATCCGCTCTTGTTTTGTGTTCTGGTACCCAATGCTCATGGCCCTCTCTGTGGATTTCACTGTTGGGTCACCCATCCTAAAATATTTTTACAATATTTGGAGTTCCCCACTGATACTTCAGTATTTGGAGTTCCCCGTTGATACTTCCTTATTATGCATGGATGGTGCCATTGTGACAACATAACAATACACAAAGATTAACTATTCATTAATCAGTAAGCACATAGAAGAACATAAATAAGCCCTAGTGTGGCTAAAATGAATATGTAATATTTAATGTAGGGGCACAATGGCTCAGAGGTTGAAGACACTGAGCTTGTCTGCTGGCTGCCTGAGTTCAAGACTAGAACGCCATGCGACAGGGTGAGCTTCCATTATTTGCCCCAGCTCCTGTTCACTTTGCAGTTTGAAATCATGCAAATGCAAGTAGATAAATAGGTATCACTTCCATGCGCCTCAGCATATAATCACGCTGGCCACATGACCATGGAAGTGTGTTCAGACAACACTGTCTCCCTCAGCTAAGAAATGGAAATGAGCACCACCCTCTAGAATCAGACATGGCTGGACATGGGAAACCTTTACCTTTAATATTTAATGTGTGTTGTAATGTAATGTTTAATTTCAGCATCAATGCACAGAGAATTCCACACTTTAATGTTTTAATGTAAAGTGATACGGTAAATTCATCTTGTATTTACTCTAGAACCAACACTGAAAAGTAAGAGAGGTGAAAAGCTATAATAGGAAGAGGTACTGTATATGTCAACCAGATTTTCAGCCAGATTTCTCCCTACATTATAACTTTCAATACCTGCCCTGGCTGAGGCATCATTTAAATAATGAAGTCTAAAATACTAGAAGGTACCACATGGCAAACTCAGGATATATTCCGGAAAATAAACAAAAGGGTGAGGAAAAGCATGCAGCTTCTGCCTTCACCTGCTAATTTCTGTCAAATAATTTAGAGTACAATAGTCCTTGACTTACGACCACAACTGAGCCCAAAATTTACGTTGTTAAGTGAGACAGTTGTTAAGTGAATTTTGTCCACTTTACAACTTTTCTTGTTATAGAACTCGTATTAAGTGAGTTACTGCAGTTGTTGAGTTAGTAACACAGTTGTTAAGTGAATGTGGCTTCCCCATTGACTTTGCTTGTGAAGGTGATTACAAAACCCCGGGACACCACAACTTTCATAAATATGGATCAGTTGTTAAGTGAATGTGGCTTCCCCATTGACTTTGCTTGTGAAGGTGATTACAAAACCCCGGGACACCACAACTTTCATAAATATGGATCAGTTGCAAAGTGTCTAAATTGTTATCACATGACCATGAGGATGTTGCAACGATTGTAACTGGGAAAAAATGTCATAAGTCACTTTTCCATTGTCAATGTGAACGGTCCCTAAATGAATGGTTTTAAGTCAAGGATTATCTGTTTTATAGTCAGATACTTTATGTGGCCCTTTCCTTCTAATTTGGAAGGGGAAAAAATGAAAGAAACTAATATACAAATACATATTTAAAAGAACATAGAAAAAAAGGGTAAGGGAGGGACCCTATAAACAACACAATACAAGTACCTAAGTAACAAATTTGTGCTCCTCCCTAGGAACATGTCTGCTTTAGCTAGAAGAAAAGAAGCTGGTTATGGCTTTACAGCAGGGGTCTTCAAACTACAGCCCTACATTCTAGGGATATGGCCCACAAAAGCCATTAATCCAGCCTGCGTGGGACCACGAGGCTGCCCCACCTACATCACCCCACCTACCAACCCGCCCCTACCCGCTTCTGGAGGCCAAGGAGGCCAAAAGCAGGATGCACGGAGGCCTCAAGAGGCCAAAAATGGGCACATTTTTGGCCTCCCCAGCCTACAGAGAGACAGAGAGAGAGGGGGAGGGAGACACACACACAAACAGAAGTCCCTCACCCCCCACCCCAGCAGCCACATCCCTTCACTAGCCTGCTTTCCACTCCCAGGAGCATAACAAATTAAAGTTTAATTTATGTGTATTGTTTAATGGACTGCTAAATTGGCCACACCCACCCAGTCATATAACCACCTAGCCACACACACCCAGCCTGTCGGGGGGCCCCAACAGTCTGAGGGACCGTGAATTGGCTCCCTGTTTTAAAAGTTTGAGGACCCCTGCTTTACAGAGTCCTTATATTTTCACTACTTCAGGCTAGGTCAGGGGAAATGCAGAATGACTATTTCAGGGAAAGGGAAAAGATTTGTATTTTTGTACTGTATCTTCTTACAGTACAAGAGAGGGAATCCGTAGTCTTGAGACATTACAAATTGCAATTCCCATCATCTCACTCCCTTATATGTTGAGAATTGGTACTCTATTCTTTTCTGATGAATGTGAAGTTATTAAACATTTATAATACAATACATAAATTCTCTTAACATACAACCTGAAGTAGAGGCAACTCAGTTCTGAATGCCCTTCTGGAGAAAGACATTTATTCCTCTTCCATTTTTTGAATATTGGGTGCTCTGATTTTCCTGGACCTTTCATGTTATACATTTATTTAATTTTTACAGCCTGCCTCAATCAAAATACAACATAATAAAAGTATAAAATGGTACACAGATATAAACCAACCCACCAGCTCCAAGACACACACTGTTAACAATGAAATAAGCTTGAAGGTTTGGAGGAATAGAACTATCTTCAATCCATTTTCAGGAGGAAGGAACTATTTGAGGAAGGAACTTTATAAACACCTCTGGAGTTTAGAAATTCCAAAATGGGGAGGGGAAAATGACTGCCATGGAAAAGGCCTCGTATTTCATCCATGTCCTCACTGGATGGCCAGATTCAATTCTGCTTTTGTTGAAGAGGAAGATAAACACACCTTTCCCTCCAATTATTATATAGGAAAGTAATCCCACATTACGATGTTGCAGGTAAATTTGCCCCAAGTTATTGAGAAAGGGCAGATTTTTTTCAACAAAGGATAAATCCTGAGAACTGGCATGGTCCAACTGGGCACCTACCTCATTCTGCAGTTTTTGTTTCTCCCCCTCAATTTGCTGCTCCATTTCCTCATATAGCTTCTGCACCTTCTTATTGTGATCAGATATTTGTCTAGCAGAGTGCCAATAAAAAGATGTTAAGGGATGTTTATGCACATGAAGAGACTTTTCAACTGTTACTACACTCATTTATGTTCAGTCTGCTCAGTAACTGATTTTACAGGAAAACTGTTCTGTAACCCTAGCCCAACCTCACCAATTCCCTTAAGGTCGACAGACCAGAGGCCATTGGTATGCCCACTATTTCTTCTACTGCTATTCCTTATATTTTTCCAAAGCAGCCTTTCCCACTATAGCTATTCTTAGCTATGTTGGGATTATCATTCACAGATGTTGCAACAGTTCTGCAGAGCCCCATTTTAGAGGAAGTTATCTTAAAGAAACAAAGCTGTCAATGAAGTCCTTATTTACTTATGTTTACTTTGTTAAAACTAGAGGGTCATATATAGTGCCAATGTGTAAAAACAATAGACCTCATGAAAAATCTGACCTCAAGCATTTGCAGCTATCAATAATGGCTTCTAATTCCCAATTATTAACTTCTTCTCTCCACTTCACTCAATTATAGTTTACATGAGGAAAACTTGGCACACTAGATTGGCTACAAAACACTAATCCCTGAACTCAAAGTTCTCTAATCCCAGGTGTATGTGCTGACCTCATATAACATACTGAGCCAAATCCAAACAAACAATGCCAAGGCTTAAACCAATATGCCGGTTCAGCAATTATGTATTAACTCTGCTAATTGTAGCTTATCTGACAAACCATAGTTCAGCAAAATATGCAGGATTTGTGAACTCAGGCTTTGTCTCTTGATAAAGATTTCTGAAGCTAAAATACTTGCCTTCTTTGCCCACTTCTGATGTAGGCATGGTTCCTACATTATAAAAAACAATGGTTTATTTTAAAAGCAACAGTAGCTATAACATGCTATGCTGTATGACCATGATGGCGAACCTATGGCACAGTGCCACAGGTGGCACGCGGAGCCATATATTTGGGCGTACGAGCATTGCCCTAGCTCAGCTCCAGTGCGCATGCACATGCTGGCCAGCTGATTTTTGGGCCTCCCGACCCACCAGAAGTCGGGAAACAGGCCGTTTCCGGCCTCCGAAGGGCCTCTGGGGGGTGGGGAAGGCTGTTTTCATCCTCCCCAGGCTTCAAGAAAGCCTCTGGAGTCTGGGGAGGGCGAAAAACAGGCCTACAAGGCCCACTATGCCATCACATGCCAAAAGTGGGGGACGTGGGGGGGTTCACGTGCGCATGCACGGGGGCGGGGCACATTGAATTATGGTGTGAGCATGCACATGTGTGACCTCCGCACTCCCCCTGCTTTTGGCACGTGACGGCAAAAAGGTTAGCCATCACTGCTGTATGATTTACAGATCTCATGACTATATTTTGCACATCACACTAGTCATCAACAAATCAACCACCACAACTTAGTATGTTATATAATTCAGGTACTGAGTTTTTTTCCCCATTACAGTTCCATAGTTACTTTTCCTAGAATTGTGTTGCTTTCCCCATTTTAAAAATCTGTTAATGAAAACACATCCCATATTTCCATTTCTATGCAGTGACCTACATTTTCAGTAGTAACTGTATCTTCTCTTTTTCATGCTTAGCTTCCTTGATCAAGTGTGTCATTTTAGCCAAGAACTCCTTCAGATTTCCCAGCAGATGTGGTTCTGCTTCCCAGAGCTGCACCCAGATCTTCCAGATTTCTGACTTGCTACAATAAGAGGAGAATTTATAGCTTCCTGGTCAATATTCTGGTTCAATTGCTTTTATTATTTTATCTTATCCTAGTTCTAGTTGAACATGAATAAATCAGCATGGAAATGTGCATTAAGGCTGAAACGTTTATATTGCCAGCACTGAAATATCCGTATTTCCATATAAATTATCTTGGAAGTGATTCATTTACAGGTAAATCACAAAAGATCTTGGGTAAATAAGATATAATAATATATATGCTAACTTGATTTCAATCACATCAATTGACAAGTGTAATGCTTGCTGCTGGTACTTAGTGTTCCACATAGCTGAAGATAACAGCTGCAAAATATGCTGTAAAGACACGTAGGGATATCTATGAAGATAAATGGGATATCTAGGGATAGAGGGCAGGAGGAGTTACATAAACAAGGAAAAGATTTCTACCTGTGCTAAACTAAGCAGCTAAAACTAATTTTGCTGGAAAATCAGAAACAGATTTTACACCTCATTGATGGAACTTGGGAGATTTGTATCAAATCCATTTCTCTTTCATTCCCATCCTGCTTCCATTTAACTGCGAGAATCAGTATGAAACATATGTAAAACGATCATATTGTTCTTACTCTTCAAAGACATTATCAGCTCCCAGTTGGTTAATGAAAGACTCAAAATGTTTCTTCTCCTCACTATTAATTTCCTCCAGGGACAAGTTTGAAGTTGCCTTCATCAAAGCTATCTTCCTCTTCCTTTGTTATCAAGATCGGTGAGCCCAAAAAATGCCCTGCAAATAAACAAATGAAATCATGCCATATACTCATGTAGCTGAGTACAGTATCATGGAGCTACTATATGAAAAATCCTTAGTGCTAAGGTTTCTCAACCTTAGCAAGGTTGAAGATGTGTGGACTTCAACTCCTTGATCTCCACCTCCTCTAAGGCCACCTATAAGATAAAATGAAAGAAAAGCGGGAAAGTGGCACAAAAGAACTGACATTTGAATTTTTATCAAGACTTGTTCATTCACTATTGAACTCCTTAACCACACTAAACAGAGTAACTAGAAGCTTCACTTTACCTGCATTTCAGACCGTGGAAAACTTCTTTGCTTTCATCAATCCCAGCTCTTTTCCATAATTAAATAACCCTTCTTCTGAGAATATCTTTATAGGTTTTCACAGGGACTTCTTGCTTCCAGGGACTAAGTCTAAATGTTCTGCCATTAGCCGACATTCTCTACTTGAACATGGTTGACAGCTTGATTGGGTAGGGAGGGTATTTATCCTTAATGTTTACATCTTTAGTAGCCTTATTATTTTGACATAAGAGACACACGTGGCACAGTATTAATATTTAACTGCACTAACATTTCACTCACAAACTTTTGTACAACAAATTAAGCCTTAGTTAATTGAGGCATAGTTTATATAACACACTGAACCACAAATTAATTTTTTCAGCTGGCTGAATTCAGATAATTCAGAACTTCAATCTAAAGAATCCCAGGGTAATTTAGGGCGGTGTTTCTCAACCCCAGCAATTTCAAGAAGTGAGGGGGGGCTTCAAATTCCAAAATTTACCAACTAGCACGCAGGCTATGGAATTCTGGGAGTTGAAATCCACGTAACTTGAAATTGCTGACTCATAGAAACACTGGTCTAAGGCAGGGGTGTCAAACCTACAGCCTAAGGCCAGACTGGCCACACCCAAACCAATTAGCGAAGGGGGGAAAGTCATGATATGTCACATGAGGATAATGTGATGACATAAGTTTGACACCCCTGGTCTAGGGTATTGTATAAATCCAAGCATGGGTAACCAATCGAAGTAGATTGTTCCAGGTGTACAATATTGATGCATTTGCTTGTTAATTGAGACATTTTAAATTAAACTCACTCAAAGGTTATAGAAATTAGAACCAGGAATATAGATTTACATACTTCAGCATCCAGTGTGGACAGTTACAGAAATTTCCTGATCTAGTAAACATTCCTGGGTTCTGAAGTGATTTGGCTACCTAAGGATGCCAGTAGATTTCCTGTACCTGGAAAGAAGAAAATATCTTTCATATGTATGATCTATTTTCTTAAGGAACTACTTTCATAATATCTGATCTCTAATTTCTAACTTCCTGGTTCCAATTTGGCTGTTATTAAGCGCCAAGCTCAGACAATAGATCAACAATATTTATAGCCTGTAGACATTTTTATTTCCTATCCATAAAGATTTTTGTGGCTTATGATAAAATATATTTAAAATGTCCAGCTGCCAGGTGTGGGGAGGCTGTAGCATGTATATAGTTTGCAGAAAGTTCTGTGCTCAGTACCCATCTTTTCTAGCTGATGGATCAAGGAGAACTGCAAGAGGAAAAATATACTCTCTCCTATTATTTCAGGAGAGAATCATAAACACTGTAAACACTTACTATAAATAAAGCTATAAAACATGATTAACATAGCTTTTGAAAACAGAGAAATTCTCAAGAATCCATGTGTGGGTCCCAGTCCATGTAACATACTGCCAAGTTCATTCAGTTTCTATAGTCCACCTTCCTCCCTCTCTCTCCCTCTCCCTCTCTTATAGACATTTTGTGCTTTTAACAACTGCCAGGTGAGATTTCAGTTTGTGAAAAGAGGCACAATAAGGAAAAGCCAGTGCATTTTGATATGCTGCACTTGGCTTGTTTTTGGAAACAACTGTTTCAGAGACTGGATTTACAGATGTTAAGCCATAGTTTGTTTAACTACAGGTTCTAAAATAAATCAAGAACTTAAACTGCATTCACTCAGTCATACACTAGGAGTTCCAATCTATTGTAACTTACTTTATGTCACATGCTAAACCAAAACCAGTCAAAGCACATTATGGCTTAAAGTTATGTATGAACTCAGACCCAATTTCCACCATTAAAATAAAATCTAACTTCAATTAAAAAAAAAAAGCCTTCTCAGCCAAGTGAGAAATGAAGCATAACTTGAAATTTAACCCTGGCTGAACTCTTAAGGAAACTTACCTGTCAATAAAAAGACAGAGCATTTAGGGCTCTCTACGGTGAAGGATTCATCCACTTTAAGAGATGGTTCCCTTATTTTTTTTTTTTTTTCAAGAGGAAGTTACTGCAATTGCAGAGCAGTGGGAGGTTTCATCTGCTGGTTCATTTCACCAGCTGCTCTGAACCATCAGTTTGTCGTTTTCATTCTTGCTCAACCCACCTCTGGTTTAGTTAGAAAAGGACTATCCCTTTTTTTTTTTTTTTAAGATTTAGGCGCCATTTGGCTTCAAGGCAGTGCTTCTCATGCTGGGGAATTCTGGGAGTTGGAGTCCACATGTCTTAAAGTTGTTAATGTTGAAAAACCCTGCTTTAAGGGCATGCTGGAGGCTACATTTCACAAAGCAGTGAGACTGAACCCAGGAGAACACCTAAAACTGATTTTGTTTCTTTTGCATTTAATTCAGATTAAATAGGTAAAGGTAAAGGTAAAGGTTCCCCTCACACGTATGTGCTAGTCGTTCCCACTAGAAACGACTAGCGGGTGGTGCTCATCTCAGTTTCAAAGCCGAAGAGCCAGCGCTGTCCGAAGAGGTCTCCGTGGTCATGTGGCCGGCATGACTAAATGCCAAAGGCGCATGGAACGCTGTTACCTTCCCACCAAAGGTGGTCCCTATTTTTCTACTTGTATTTTTTACGTGCTTTCAAACTGCTAGGTTGGCAGAAGCTAGGACAAGTAACAGGAGCTCACCCCGTTACGTGGCACTAGGGATTCGAACCACTGAACTGCCAACCTTTCGATCAATAAGCTCAGTGTCTTAGCCACTGAACCACCATGTCCCTTGCAGATTAAATAACATTGGGATTATTTCCCATTATTTTATGTATGTATGTATGTAATCTTATATTAAATATGGCATTTGATAACTTTTAGCATTTAGGAATGAGGATATTCCTAAGATTCTCAGCGACCATTCATACTAATGGCATATATTGTATTTCTCAGAATACCTTTTGGAGAATTTGGCTTTTTCCATATTTAATGCAAAATTAGAAATCTGTTAGTTACTCTTTGTTGTGCTAAATGTAAGACAGAAGCTCAAAATGAAATTATTTTTCAATCAACTCTACACAGGATATCTTTCTGAGTAAGTAAAGGATTATCACAAATTCTTGTCAATCTCGGTTCATGCAGTTGTGACTGAGGTAGAAATATATTAATATTTCAATATTGTATAATATAGAAAAATATACTTTCTGGAACATAAAAGTATTTATGCAAAGGTGCAGTCATGAATTTCTATGCTGGAAGAGTTTGTCTGAATCTAAACTGGTCTGAGATGGTAGCCAATAATTTTTTTTTCATTCAGGTTCATTGCTGTTTTCCCTAACAATACCTAACTGTGTAATAACCTGCTTCTCTTTCTGCCACATTGTAAATGCACATTGATTAGCTGTTATTAAAAGGGACATTTTAACAAGCAATGGTGCCTTTGAACCAATGTGTGCATTGCTTATCTCATGCTAAGTTAAGACTTGGGAACAAGATGTCACAATCAAAAAGTTAGCCTGGACAGAAGCCATAAAATAGAATTGCAACCTAATAACATCCTACAAAATTTGAAATTCAACTGTATTATGAGTTGATCATTCTAAGGATCAATATAATTACAGACCCAGGCTCCTGATTTTTTAACCTAATTCATAGTTTATGTGAGAAAAGCACTTCAAATATTGCAGAGTACGGTAGTAACTATGGACTTTTGTATTTTATTCGGTAATCCCTAGAGTTTAGATTGTCTTATCAAGAACATATTGTGTATTAACTTTTTCCAATCAGGTTTTATTAAGTGTTTCTAGATTATGCCATGAAAGAAACGGAAAGCTCATAAAAAACTCTCTCTCTTCAAAACTACTTGTATAGAAACCAATCAATTGTACTCTAATTTCTTATACTTTCCCCACTATCAGTTTTTCCTAGGTTCACGCAATATCCTAATTATAACAGATTGTTTTGGCTTAGTGTATGGATCTCAGGCTCAGCCACTGTAATTAATGGTTCAGTGTCTTTCTGTAAGCCTAGTTAATGGTGACTTATTCAGTAAACCACAATTAAGCAAACTAATTATTAAAATACAACAATGGAAGTGGCTTGATAGAATTGCTATTTCCATATTGCACTTATCTATGATTAACTGAATCATGATTTACTGACTGAAATGTCAGATTTAAAGGAGATTGGCTAGTCTGTAATTCAGTAGATTGTTCCACTGAGTTTTTATCTTGATAAAATATTTTGTAAAGTCCTTTACCCTCTAAAACTATTATTTTTAAAGGCCAAACAAATGTCATCACTGGACAGAACATTAGTATGCTCAATTCTAAATGAAACATGCAAGAAATTCACACCAGACAAAGTGCTGTTCCATTATGAAGTGGCTTTATTTTACTCCCAGACTTAGTTCAGCAGCATTATATTCACAACTGGATTAATGCTCAAGAATCCCAGCATTATCCTGAATGTAAAAGTGCAACTCTCAAAGTGGCCAGATGTGTCTATAGAAATTCTAACCAAAAACTTCAGAAGACCCTAAGGAAATTTATTATATAAAAGTGCCTGAAGCTGTTTTTCTGATAGGTTGGCCCTTGTGCAGATGGCATGAACCAACATGAATCTCCAAAATCAAGCAAGCAAGCGTCTCTTTCATGGTTAGGACTTAGAACTGAATGTTTGCAAGCTGCAGATGACCTGATAAAAGAAGCGATTTCCCACAAACACCACATGTTATACTATAGTAGCAAAATTCTGACAAGGGACCCTTGTCCCTAACTTATTACAAGGAGACTGCAATAAAGCCATTGCATATGCAAGCAAATTTGCCATTAAGATGGGTTCCAAAGTTTTGATTATAATATAATAAGGCCTGAACTTTTGATTATAGTAGCACACTGTACCCAGGATTATTTGATAGGAAAGTGCAACAGCAAGTATTTATAATAGCCCCAAATTCCAAGCAAAAGTAATCGGTAAATTAGATTATCTCATATTAATTTAAGTGATACAATTGCCAGTTTGACAATGACTCTTATTTAAAGTCACTTGGAGAACACACAGGCAGCTATAGGAATTAGAGAAAGCAAGTCTGAGTCCTTATATCAGCCTCTATCACTAAGTTGCTATAGCAGTGAAATAAGGCAACAGAAAGTCAAAGATTATGCTACATCAACCCTTGCTGGCACACACTATTTTGCCTCACTAATCACTACAGTGCTACATAATTACAAATGGTCTGCATTAAAGAAGATTCAATAGCTAATTAAGGTGGCAAAGAACATACTGTATGGAAGAAGCAAGTAAGACAGTAGTGAAGTATGCCAGATTTTATGATTATACCCAGGGGTGCTATTCAGCAGGTTCTGACAGGTTCTGGAGAACCGGTAGCGGAAATTTTGAGTAGTTCGGACAACTGGCAAATACTACCTCTGGCTGGCCCCAGAGTAGGGTGGGAATGGAGATTTTGCAATATCCTTCCCCCCAGGAGTGGGGAGGGAATGGGGATTTTGCAGTATCTTTCCCTTGGAGTGGGGTGGGAATGGAGATTTTGCAGTATCCTTCCCCTGCCATACCCACCAAGCCACACCACACCCACCAACCCACGCCTACATAACCAATAGTAAAAAAAATTGAATTCCACCACTGATTATACCTGTCCCTCCCACAAATATTATGTGTTGTATCTTCTGTTTTTTGTGTTATTGGGAGACAATTATATCATGTATTCCTGTACAGTTATATAACAAAAGGACATATAAATTACCCAGAAAAATAACTGATAAAGGCTACAATATTTACAATATTTCCAACCCTACCCTCTTCACAGCAGTGTTACGGTTTAATGCACACTCGAACCCATCATAACCATAGATTCTTCATCTTTAAGAAAATCCCTTAGCCTGGGAAAAAAAAACCCAATCCATTCTTTTCCTCCTCACAAAATTTGTTTAAACACAATAGAGTAAAAGTTGTAGGAAGATCAAAGTCTAAGATATTATCCTATACTTCTGTTGATTCCTAGACCTGCACCCGCATATAATGAGTCATCATATCAAGCTTTTCCTGAGGCCCATAAAAGGTGACAAGTAAATGACACATAAAACAGACAATGGCCCCCTACACACTTGGCCCTTTAGATATGATTCCTCCTGCTGCAACAAGCATATTTAAAGGTAAGATTTTACAATATTTCATTGCACATAAGAATCCAGTGCTATCAATGATAAAAAAAAAAAAATTATATCCTTCTGAAGTGTTGTACTAGTCCACTAAAAGAAGTTTACATAAAATAAGAGATTTCTGGCTCTTCAGAGAAGGAACTGTAATGCTGATTAGCTGGTCCTTCAAAATAGCCATCCTGCATGAGTTCACTGGGTGTGGTACGCAAGTAGGTCATTCCAGCTAATAATAATAAAGACAGGTCAAAATCTTCATCAACAGACTACATGGATGGACTTTGCTTGCAGTGTTGTTATCATGGCTTTGGCTTATATGGGCTTGTTCGTCGCTTTGAACCATAAAAGTCTAGAAAAGAGCAGAAAAACAAATTATTTTTTTTTACTTAAAGGGATAAGACCAAGTGCCCAAATGGGATTCAAACATGTCCATAAGTCTGCTCACAGATTTGAGTACAAACATCAGCCAACAAGGCCTTGCATCTCCAGAACGGACATAGCTTTGGTAAACCTTAATATTGCAGTGTTTGCTTGTTTATTAGGGCATACACTCAGGAAATACATTTGAAATAATAATTGTATCACCAAATGCCAGTTTTTGTTTCCTTTTCCTTTTCTATTGTCACGGAAGACATGCAGCCTGATAAATGTGATTAGGTAGAACAAATACTCCCTCTATAATCTTACATATTATTAAACCAAATACATAAAATGTTTCAACAGGGTGTCTTTATACACATTTGCTATGTCTACAAATTAAAATGAATTTACTTGCATAGTTCCTAATGATGAATGAACATTAAGTTTGTTCAAGATTAAATACACACACACAAGCTGACATATCACAGTTCTTAACATCATCTGTGGCAATTAAATATCTTCTAAAAGTCAAGCCACAAATGTCCAATTTTAAATACAGTATTAAGCCCAAATTGTGAGGGGTTTTTTTTAAAAAAATTGGGATTTGGGTTTTATAAAACTTCATTTCAGTTCCAGTTCTGAATATTAACAACTCCTTGAGTTAACACAAAGAACAAATAGAGCTGCTCCATTCTTACCTTTGATACTTGTCTGCTTTCTTTTCAAACATCTGGGGGAATCAGCCTTACAAGCTTCAAGGTCCACCTGCACTGGTCTCTCTGTCTTTGTGTGCCTCTTGAAGAGTGCTGGAGGACTCCGGCTCTTTTCCCCTGTACAGCTGTTCTCCTTTGTGTGACCCAAGAGATCTGGAGATGGCAGCATATTTAGATGAGAGACCTTTTCCCATTTGAAATTCCCTTCCAGTGGGGTTTCTGTTTCAAAGTCAAAGTTCCACTTTTGCTGGGCTTCTTCCAGCTGGACCTTCATCAAGGACTGAAAGTCCTTCTGGAGCTGTTCATGATCAACTGGTCCAAAGAGATTTCTGCATAGTTTCCTGCTGCAGGAAGGCTGAAGGATTTTACTCTCAGAAAGAGGCATGTTTCCTATTGGGAGAAAGATCAGGAACATTTTAAAAAGGAGAAGTTACTTTTTGCCTCCAAGTCAGTAACAATAAAAAAAAAAAATACAGTAATTAAGTCTCCTTGAAAAGCCTATCAGGGTAACATTAAACATTCTGATTCAAATTACTGGAATTTGACAAAAATAGCATGATTTAATGTAATTAATCAAAGAACTTCAATATATTTCAAAAGAGAGATAATATATCTTAAGCATCATTATACCTAGTGACACCAGCTAAGTGTGTCAGAGCTCAAATTAAAATGTCATTAGAAACCTTAGTTAGAACGCAAGTTTGGATGAGTGGGACCCTTTCATATTCTGGATACAAGTCATATCTCTTAAAAAACTGAACCACATAGAATTGTACTTATGAGATCCTCGGGACATATTTTACCAAGAGTTCACCCTGAGCAAGAAGCATGTCAGGGAATATTTGAAGAATTAAAGTTTCTTTGGAGTAACTTTTACCAGCTCCCAAGTAGATGCTCTTTGCCCTATACATGCCAGTATTGTTCTTCCTAATGTTTAAACAGTTTTGAACACAGAAAAGGATTGCCCAATAGTTATAAGTAATTAAATGCTTCTAGTCCATGGAGAACTAAACGATTTACAGAACACAAATGTTAACTTTGTTGTCTCATGTAATCTTTTTCTTACTGGAACAGTACCGCTGGGCACCAACAAAGGCAGGTATAATGCAAAAGGAAGTCCTACATTTAAGATACAGCATTTTGCAATGTGCAAAGATTGTATATGTTAAGATGGCCTATGAAAGTGGAAATTTCCATTGTCAGATATCTACTCTTTATACATCACCATTCAGATAGGCCTAATGTTTTATTTCGGAATTTCTGCTGATTTTCTGTATTTATTCACTCCAAAAGGTACTTCATACAGGACTCAAATACTTCACCCACTTATATTCTGAAGTACTGTTAAAATAGAGACTAGAACAGCAGCAAACTGTGTGTGTGTGTGTGTGTAATCAAATAGGGCGAGACAACAGAAACAGGGTCACAATACAGGCATACAAAGGACTGCATTGTGATGCTATGTCTGCCATCTTGCCTTTTTTTAACCTTACTCTTTGGACTGGATTAAATTAGCCTGGAATAATAACGTCTGACTCCCCAGATTTAAAAAATAGAAAAGATGTATGAAAGATATAATTTTACATATCCATTCTACATTTGTGATAGCATCGTCATATCATGAAACTCAATACAACACAATAAAGTTCCAGTTTTAAGAACCAGGTAATTGTAAAGGAAAACCCTGAATCAAAAATAGACTCTAAGACTAACAATTAGCAGAATAGTACTTCTCCATCCATATCTTTTTAACATTAACAGTGCCAAAGTCCAGGTCTGTGATTATGCAGCACCGATCATCCAATTTCTGTATATGTTAGAATTCTTCCAGCCATAATAGAAATAGCACTTAGACTTATATACCGCTTCACAGTGTTTTACAGTCCACTCTAAGTGGTTTAAAAATATCACCATATTGCCCCTAACAATATGGGTGCTCATTTTACTGACCTTGGAAGGATGGAAGGCTGAGTTAACCTTGAGCCGGTCAGGATCGAACTGCCAAACTGCTGTGCAGCCAGTAATCAGCAGAAGTAGCCTGCAGTACTGCATTCTAACCCCTGCGCCACCACAGTTCTAATGGATTTTACATTAACTACTTCAATGTATTTGATATCTTTAACCAATAAAGAGCTACAGTTTGGTGTCTGCTCATTATCTCCCCTCCATTCAAAAGGATCGTCACAAGGCAAGTAGCTAAGGTTTATATTCTGTATCCATCCAATAAAACCATCCTGCATTAATGCCATTTTTAGTTATGAAGCCCATTAATGAAGAGCAGACTACTAGAGAGCCTCCAAGCATGACGACCCATTTCACTCTTTGGCAAGCCACCTTTATTTGAGTAGATATGTATTTTTCCATGCAGAAGCTCTGGATCAAAACACAATTGAATTGCAATGCCCATGTCTTGTTTTATTTGGTCAGTGCTTCCCCAAACAGTTTTCACATCTGCATTGCTTAGCATACTGATGTTGCTAAAGGAAAGGCAAAGAGATTAAAAATAGTAGCAGCCTTCACATGCCCATTACATGCAGCTATGCCAGATGACATCACTCAGAGCTTTAGTCACATCAGAACAAGTCCAGGCAGGTTCATAACTGCCAAGGACAGGCCACAGCTTGATGAGTTTTTAACTCACCACTTCAAGTCACTAAAACAGGATGCTTACCAGATATTTCTGGGGATATGTACCCCAGAAATATTAACTCTGGATTGTGTTTTTTTTATTCTTGTTCTTTCGTTGGGAACCAGTTTCCATGTATGGCTGTGGAATTCTGAAAGTTGAAGTCCACACATTTTAAAATTGTCAAAGTTGAGAAACATTGGCCTAGCTAGCATGCAGATAGACAACAAGCTTGTGGACTTTTGACATGCTTCAAAAAGGAATGAAGGCACAACCAACTGTAACAACAACATCTGTCTGATAACAGTGTTTGCATCTCAACTGAGTTAAGACCAATCCACATAGCACCAAATGGATCCCAGATCACAAATACTTGTAGATCAATGTTTGGGGAGAGATATCATTAAAATATACCGCATTGTATACTGTATGCTTTCAATATATGACCAAAACAACTCTGGGCAAGTTTTTAGATGGCTTCTCCTATTCCTCCAAAACCCCTAATCACTGGAACTCTCTGCCAAAAAGAGACCAGGCTAGCTCTATTTTTGATGACCTTCTACCAGCAGGGAAAGGTATTTTCAAGACTACACGTTTCTAGCTTCCAAACCAACTTTAGTGAAATATATTTTAAGTGTTCATTTTTCAAAATGTATCGTTGTTTTAAGTGTTATTCAGAACGTTTTCCTTATCTTTGTTGCCTTCCACTTGACAAAATATGACAAAATATAAATTTAGTAAAGCAGTTGAATACACACATATACTGGTTCAGTTTTCAATGAATTTAAGCAATAAGTTTTTAAGTATTTTCTTATGTCATCCACATTCCCCCAAATTGTACAATTAATTTAAAAAGTAGTCTTGGTTAATTCTAACTGAGTTCCATTGTGGACACTTGAATACTAATGTGTATACAATATCTGTAGTGCATTAGTGCATCTGACTTGAGAAAAAAACCTTGTTTGTGGCTTCATATCCCCAACCACAATGGGTTATAGTGTAGTGTGTCCCTTGAACCCATCTATTTACTGATTCAGTAAGCAATAACTAAGTATGTTATGCAATTGTTCTTTGGATTTGTTCACACATTGTCATTCAACTATGAATTCTCACAAGTGGTTCCACTACAATGACTTGGTTCCCAACCTACATCAAGCCACTAACCATGGTTACAAACCATAATGGTGGAATGTTCATAAATGCTAAACCACGAAGAAGGAAAACCACATTACAACTTACACCGTGAATCCAGCCTTGCTGCCTGTCGCACAACTGCCAAAATTAATGTTTCACTTGGCTAGTAGTCCAACTCGCTCAGTACCTATCGAAACCGATTACTCTGGAACCGTTACCGCTAACTTCCCCAACGCTTTCCAGAAATGTTGGACTACAACAACTCCCAGACTCTCCTTAACTTTGGCTGCTGCCGGCTATCAGAAAATTATTTGCCACCTCTGTATCAGGGGAGACGGATCTTTGTAGATAACAACGCCTACTGGTGGAAGTGTAGGGAAACAATAATATAGAATATAAAATACTGATATACTAGATTTAGTAAAAGCTTGTTATTCTGTAATCATTAGGTTCCTGTAACATATATATTGTGCTTTTGTATCACATATATTATTCCTTTCTATTTGTATCTCCTGTTACAAACATATTGTCATTAGGCCTCTGAAATGTATCTGGTATTTGTCAAACGTATGTCCCTGCCATTTGACCTGCTCATATCAATCTCTTTCTGTGCCACCTAAAAACATGGTACGTATCTGTTGGAACTCCAGCCATCAACAAAGGGGTAATTTACATCTCAATCCTAATTTATGTCTGATATGGGTAAGATCTGGTCTTCAGGAGCCAGGCGCTAAGTGGCCAATTAAGTAAACAAAGATAAGACTAATTGGAAGTTTAGATTCCTTTGCAGGGCAACAAAGAATACACAAACATAAATTAAGGGGCCAGAATTGGGGATCTAACTGATGCTTTAAAGGTATAAAACGTGGTTACATCTTCTCTGAAGATGTGAACCCTCCCATATACATATCTCTTTGTATGTGTTTGGAATGGTTTTACCCAGCCTTTTGTCTTTGATCAAAGATTAAATGTTGATTCTTATTCAAGCCTCCGTTTAAGTCTTTCTTTTTGGTTCACTGAGAGCTTAAGCGTATAGCCGGACCTTACATTTCTGGTGCCCAACGAACGTGGGGCTTGAAGGCAACATTTTCCTTCAAGGTTGCCACATTTGGCCCCCCATACAGCCAACCCCCTTGTGGTTTGGCGGCCTTCACCAACGGCGGGCGGAAGAAACCGGCGAGGACCAGAGACGACGTCAAGAGCGCTCCCGGCAAGTTTAAACCGGTGACTTCGACCTGGTCGGCCGTCGGCAGATTCTGTTTCCAGCCGGACCTGAACGCCCTAATTGAGGCTTGAATTGGGTATTGGGGAAGATTGTCCTCTGCTAGGTGAGTAGAGACTTTTTCTTTTGGGTGGGGAGGGGAGTGTTGCTTTGTGAGTGTGTGAATGAGACGAGGGAAATTCCTCAGAGGTTTGCCCTCGAAGCGACGTGCGGAGATCCAATCTGCGTTTCTGATTATCCGAGAGGAGATCAGCCAGAGACGATCGCTTTGAAAGGAGTGTGACTGTTGGAATAAGAATCTGTAGTGCAGGAGAGGGCTCTGACCAAACTTAGGACCCGCAGGGGAGGTCTGGGAAATCTCTTAGGGAAAAAGAGAGGGTTTGGTTAGGCTTTGCACCGACGGAAAGGTGTGGGAAATCTCCTCAGGAGACAGAGAAAGTCTAGTCAGGCTTCGAGCTGACAGAAAGGAATCCCCTGGAAAATGGGCAACCATGCTGGTAGTCCATTTGGAATGAGTAACTTTGTAAGAAAAACAGAGCCGTGTTCCCCTCTGGACTGCGTGTTAGCCCATTGGGACACAGTAAAACCTATTGCAGAAAAAAAGATTGTTCTAAAAAAGAATAAGCTGAAAGCCCTCTGCACATCCATCTGGCCAACCTACTTAATTGGTCCTAACATAGGAACCTGGCCTCCAGAAGGCAGCCTTGATTTAGATTTTGTCAACAAATTTGCTGAATTTCTGGCTGCCATAGGACGAACTGAAGAGGAGCTTTACATTATCTTCTTCTCCAATCTCCTTTGTCGCCCAGACATCCAGAAAGCATGTGGGCTCACTCCAACACCCTCTTCTAAAATTTGCCCCATTGTCACTTTTGCAAAAAAGAAAAAGCTATCCAAAGTGACTGAAGAAGAAGAGGAGTTTCCCCCACCATATTATGTTGCTCCCCCTTCCCCTGATGTAAACACTGTGCCTTTAATGGCTCAGGCACCTCAGGCAGCAGCACAATCCGCTGTGCAGGATCAGGTGCGTCCAACTGCCCCTCAGATTAATCCACAAGCTCAGGTGCTCCCAACAACATCACAGCCATCCCAGGCTAATCCACAAAGTTCAACAAGCAGCCCAAGCTCTGTATCCAGATCTGACGGCTTTAAGTCCTCCTCACACTAGGACGAGACAGACTTACGCACCTGCTGATCAACCGGGTCCCTCAGTCCTAGCCCCCCTTCGACAAGTTCCTATGAAAGATGAATTGGTGTTTATTCACACACCTTTTACTACCAATGATCTTTTCAATTGGAAAGCAGGACTTCCCTCTTACAGGGAATCCCCCCAAAGTTATGTTGAACTCGTTCAACGTGTGATGGCCACTCATAAACCTAATGTGCCTGATATTTTTACTCTCTTATCGGCACTCCTGTCTACTGAGGAAAAACAACAAGTTCTTAAAGCCACCACAGCACACTACAAAGCTGCTAGAGAACATGGCATTCAAACTAATAACGATGCCCCAGCTTTATGGCCTGAACCCCTGATTCTTTTTAGCCCCAGCTATGAGGTTGATCCCAACACAGATCAGGGTGCCCTCATCCTCCAGAGAGCCAGGGATGCTATCCTTCAAGGACTGAGGCTCGGTGTTCCAAAAACGGTGAACTTTCACCGCGTTCATCAGATCCTTCAAAATCCAAAGGAATCCCCCACTGATTTTTTGAACCGTTTGAAAGATGGATTTCGGAGGTTTACTGACCTCGACCCTGATAGCCCAGCTAATGATGTTTTGCTGAAAATGACCTTTGTGGGACAAAGTGCTCCCGATATAAGAAGGAAATTGCAAAAACTAGAGACCCCTACTGCTAAGGACTTAGAGGCCCTCATTCAAACAGCTTTCACTGTCTATTCCCAAAGGGAGGAAGAGGAAGAAAAGAAAGAAGATAGGAAAATGAGAAAGCAAGCTGCTCTTTTAGCAGCGGCTTTGAGCCCCCAAAATAAAGGCAGGGGGAGACCCCTCCCGAAAAATCAATGTGCCCGGTGTCATCAAACTGGCCATTGGTGGAGAGAATGCCCCAACGAACCACAACGGCCCAATAGGGGACGTGGATAAATGAGGGGAGGGGAGGATACAGACCTGATCCCCCGCAAGCCCCCCTCATGTCAGCTCAGGCTCCTGAGTTTTATCCAGAAACCTACTGAAGGGGCTCTGGAGGGCCAATTGCTTCCCCAGACCCTCTGATGGAGCTCAAAGTGGGGAACAAATCTTATTCCTTTTTGATTGATACAGGAGCTACCTTTAGCGTCCTGAACGATAAATCCATTCCTTGCCTCTCTTCTAAAACCACCCCCATTGTTGGAGCAACCGGGATAGAAGAGAATGCCCTGATCAGTCACCCAATGGAGGTTGAACCAACCAAGGGACCATCACTCCAGCATTCCTTTCTAATATTGCCACAATGTCCTATCAATCTTTTGGGGAGGGATCTGCTAGGAAAATTGGGGGCAGTTATACAATGCTCCCAGCAGGGAGTTTCCCTTGAAATTCCCCCAGAAAGAGCTTATCTTTGCTTCCTAGAGAAAGAAACAATCCTTAGAGGACCTGATTCAAATAAGATAAATCCCCAAGTTTGGTATCAAGGAATCCCTGGGT